TGAAGATCAACATGATGCTGGCGGAGAAAGTTTACCCACGGTTCGAGCCCACGGAGTCTCAGCCGACGGCACCAATCCTCCTGCAGCCACGGTCCAGGTTGTCGTACGAGAATCGAGCGTTTCACATCCTAGCCAGAGAAGAAATACCGTAGGTAGAAAACACTCACAATCAACAGCTACCGCCACCGCGGAGAACTGGTCCGCCTCGAATGCTCAACCTTTGGATGAGAGCCGAGAGACGATACAAGAGTTGCAGGAACAACAAGATAGGATCCAGAAGGAGCTCGAAGATGTGATTGCACAAGGTCTGAAGGAATCTGAGGAGATCAAAAATCAAATCCTTCTTTTATCCGAAGATAAAGATAAAAAGACAGAAATGGTCAAGGACAAGGAGGAAGCGAGCGAGACGTTGAGAAAAGAGGTCAAGAACCTGGAGGTCAAGAATCGACAAGCACAATCGCGGAAGACGGCGTTACAAAAGAGTTTACAGGCCAAGCAGGTAGAGAGAAAGAAGATGCAAGATGAACAAGCACGCTGGAAGAAGGAAATAAAGTCAATGGGCGCTGAAATGGAGTCCTGGAGTCGCGAGGCAGAGGAGATACGTACGTCTACAGAGGCAAAATGCGAGGAGCTTCGTGAGAATATTCGAAACGTTCAAGATTTGATTGCAAAATTTACGCGTGAAGTCGCAGAGAAAGGGTTATTGGTCAAGAGCCTAGAAGAGGAAAGGGAGGGTCTTGGAATTGGGCTGGATGACGATCAAGCCCGTGAGTGGGAGGCTTTAGAAAGGAGAAATGATGCTCAGTGGGAGGCAGAAAGCAGAACGCAACACGCTATTGCGCAAGACTACAGTCAACGGCTGGAGCGACTTGAGAACGAACTACAAGCGGCACAGGCCAATTTCACAGCGCTTTATGCCCGGTTACCCAGCAATCCAAACGATCTCATGAATCACGCAAATTCCTCTGGAGTTGATTTCGATCCGAATGGACAGCACGGCAGAGCCAAATCTCGAAGACAACGCACTCGCAAGAGCCGCACGAATACGGTGTCATCTACTTCTGGCTATGCAATGGCCGAGTCCCAATATTCAAGTACTGGTATATTCAACAACTTTAACTTAATGAGCTCACCCGCTTATGCGGCAGCTCCATATCTGAATCTAGCTATGAGTAATGATACTACGATGGCTTCGGCTTCGGGTCACTCGGGAGGGATGAGCGAAGCTGATATTCAGTCGCTCACGGCCGGGGCACCGCTCAGTCCGACAGCAACCATGCTATTACCTTCAACTCTTTTCAATGACGATGAGCTTCAAGGTGCTGATGAGGAAGGCCCTGAATATATGTCAGAGTTGCATCATTCATATAGTCCGCCACAACGACATAATGATACACAATCTCCAGGGTCTAGTCGCTCTGCTAGTCTAATGTCTAGTCCTCACGCATCATCGCAAAATCTTGCAAAATATGGCGTAACACACCATGATTATGCTCTCGATGCTGATCGTAGTTCGCTAGGCTCACCCTCGTCAAAGTTTGGAGTAATTGGATCACCAGCACGAGCCGGTCAATCAACATCCCACCGGAATTTTGGCAGCATGTTTACTTCTCTTCGAAAGTCTGAGAAGGCCCCTCAAGATGGACTCCCTCTCGGTAGTTTGAAAGGCCAGAGCCATTCATTCCCACGTTCCACTGATGAACCGGAGACTCCCAATAGGGCTCGTCGTATAAGCTTCTCATCCGGCTGGGGGAATGTCTTTCAACGAAGCGCTACAGTTGGTGACTCTTCTGAGGGCAATGCACCTGCTCCAGCTCGTCCAAATGGTCGGAGACAACTTGGGTTTAGTATGTTTGGCTTTAGAAATGAAGATACAAACCATCTACGTTCCGCTCGTGACCCTAGTAGCCCTCGTCCGACGTCTATTGCCTCTTCTGATCTGCCACGCCCATCAACAGATAGTGCACCATTCGGGTGGGGGCCAGGAGCTGATGGGACCGTAAACAAAAGCCCACTTGTTACCGATTGGTCTGTGTCCGCTCCACCAACTTGGTCCAGCAATGCATCGAGAAGGCCTAGTTTTCAACATGGTTCCTCTAGTGCACTGGCTTCTGAGATTTTGAGCGGATCAGACGAATACTTCTATGAAGATAACATTCACTCAAGTCCACCTCCAAATCTGGGGGCTATTGGCACTCGGCCCCCTTCGTCGCACAATTCAGTTTTACCTAAGCTCAACCCTAACGCGCCAAAATTCGAACTCCCTCAAACCAGTGAGCCTGTCTTTTCTCGTCTTCTGAGAAGTAAAGGTAAAGGCAAGGCTCCAGATCAGAACACCGAATCCTTTGACCCTACCTATGATACACCTCACCCCATTACCTCTTCTCCATCTGAATCGAGAAAGTCCCGAGACTCGCCATCTATCCACACGCAAAATAGTGTGGCCGAATCAATAGATAGCTTGGATAGGACCAAAAGTAACACAGCATCTGATATTGCAGGAAGCGCGAAAGGAGAATCATCCTTCACAAAGCTCCTCCGTAAAGGTAGTTCGAGTAAATTCAGCTTAGGAGGCAAAGATTCGATTTTTGGGAGGAAAAGGGGAGGAAGTAGTACGGCTGCTTCGGATCACAATGATAGGGATGAAGGGTTGGATGACCTTGGTGATTCTTTGCTCATTGGAACTGGGGGAGAAAGTGCAACTAGTAGTCCAAGGATCGGCGGATTTGAAGGAAGTGATGGGAAAGCAAAAGGTGCGACTAGAGAAAGAAAGAGCTCGACGTGGGGAAGATTCCAAAGGAAGAAAAGAGAAAGTTCGGAAATGGAGAGGAGTGAGAGGAGTGAGGCGGAGACGACAGGTACGGAAGATGAGCATGAGTGAGCATGCGCAATCGACTCAATTTCCTCAAGCGAGTGGGAACGCAGGGGTTGAGCATCGAGGGAAAGGGAGGGAGTTTATGAATGATATGATTTTCATCATACATACATACTCGCATACTCGTATGCTCACATACTAGGATATCTTAGCTGTGAGATATACGCAGCATCTGCAAAGCATTTGTTGATTTGTTGACTGGAAATCGTTAGCGTTGCATGCATACCTATATAGTAAAAGCAAATTTTTTGATTTACATATAACACTCGAGTTTTTACTGGCCATGTGATTGTCTGTTTATGTTTTTTTTCTCGGGTGCTTGTTTCCAGATGTGTGGATGGGGTGAGGTGAGGATGAGTATTGTATGTGTGGGTTCATTAGAGAATGTAGTGTAGAGTTTAGGTGAGCTTTATTCTTCTATTCATTCATCTGTCTAGATAGTAGTAGTAGTAGTAGTAGTAGTAGTAGTAGTAGTAGTAATAGTAGTCGGCTCTTATAAACGGCTGATTAGTTTCTAGTTGGGGAAAGCGAGTGTTCCCGGAAAACGAGTGTCTCTGTAAGATTTTGGGTACAAAATACACTAAAATTATTCAATTTTATTAGAAATCTAATATTATTTTTAATATACAATCTTTAATTTTTGAATAATTTTTGAACTTTTTATATAATTATATTCAATAAGATTATAGCTTTCTAATAATATTAGATTTTTTTGAATTATTTCAAAATTTATAATATTATTTATAAAATTTAAATTTTTTTTAATAAAAATCATAAAATCTATACCCAAAATCTCACAGGGACATTTGCTTTCCGGAGACACTCGCTTTCCTCAACTAGGAACTAATCGGTCGCTTGAAGAACCGACTATTAGTAGTAGTAAAATTCTTACTCGATTTAGTTTATCTTACTTATACTATGGCTGATAATATGATATGATGCGATGTGTGTATATGTATATATATATGTATATATATATGTGTTTATAGTATTTATCTATTAGTGTATAAAGGGATTTCCGTAGGAATGAAGGGAAAGGAAAAGGGAGAGGAAGAAGGGAGAGGAAGAAGGGAAAAGAAGAAAATGGTATATATGTGTATGTATGCGCCTGGATTGCGAAATTGAGAGGGAGAGGAGAAGGGGGATCTATAGGGTGAGGAGTGTGAGGAGTGTGAGGAGTGTGAGAGATGTGAGGAGTGTGAGGAGTGTGAGGAGTATAAGGAGTATAAGAATATAAGAAATATAAGAATATAAGGAAATATAAGAATATAAGAAAATATAAGAAATATAGAATATAAGAAATATAAGAAAATATACGAAATATAAGAAATATAAGAACTATAAGAAATCTAAGAAATATAAGAAATATAAGAAATATAAGAAATATAAGAAAATCTAAGAAAATATAAAAAATATAAGAAATGTGAGGAATATAAGAAATGTGAGGAATATAAGGAGTAATAGATTAGATAAGTATTATAAAATGTATTTATCGAATCCTTAAGTTTGAATCCCGTTTAATATAGCTAATCTGTTAGTATAAAGATTTATAGATATATACATACATATATACATACATATATACATACATATATACATACATACATACATACATATATACATATATATATATATATATATATATCGATACCCAAATCCCCCAATCCCCTCTCCATCTTCCCAGCAAACCAACATAAAAACAGAGATCAGGAAAGAACGATCAACACTCAAACCCGTATAGTTCGCAAGGCAAGTACATCTATCCATCTATCCATCTATCCATCTATGCGGTACAACTCTGCTTACAGCACAACCAGTCATAATCATAATCATAATCATAATCATCGTAATAATAACTTTCCTTCCTTCCTTCCTAGCTCGATCTCTAGCTCCATATTCTATCTCCTGAACTATTATCTTCACTTCACTTCATTTTGGATTTCTTTCCCAATGAATAAATAAATAAACAAACAACCAGAAATACTCCATCGCATCTACACATTTTATCAAACCTTTGGAAGCATACCAGTCCACCGAAACAGCGCTACACATACCTACTCAGGCAATCATATACCCATTCCCATCCCCATACCCATACCCATCCCCATCCCCATCCCCATCCCACATGGGCCAAGAACTTGTAAGCGTTCCCCTCCCCAACACACATCAGCATAATCCCTCCCCTCCTCTCCCCTTTTTAACCAAACAAAAATACTAATCAACTCAAGGAAAAAGTCGAAACAGAATTGTCCTCTCTCTCTCTTCTCCGCGTGTCGAAATCTCTTTGCGGATTGGGGATGTTTACCTACAAGACGAGATGCTGGAGGGGTGGGAAATGCAGTTCCTGTGGCTTCGGTTTCAGATATTGGAGAGATTGGAAATGCAATTCCCATGACATCGATTCCAGATACAACAGGGATAGTAAATCCAATTCCTATAACCTCGGTTCCACATGCTAGAGGGATAAAAAATCCAATTCCCATGCCCTCAATTCCAGATATACCAGACACAAGAAATACAACTCCAACAACATCGATTCCAGACGTAACCGAGATCCGAGATGCAGCTCCCATCGAACACAACGACACCAATACATTGAGCGAGAAAAGTCAAGCAGAAGGCAAAACCAATCAAATTGAAGGTCTGTCCCTCGCTCAGCGATTGAGATTGATCGAGCAGAGAGGTGTCCAGCTTGAAGCCTCGCATGATAGTAGGGTGTCTATTACTTCCTGTTCGTTACCTCTATTACCTTCAGGAAACTTCCCCGTCACTTTTCCCAATCCAGTTCTCACTACAGTTTGCAATACAGTTCCCACTACAATTCCAGTTACAGTGGATACTACAGTGAACACTGAAGTTCCCATTGAAGTTCTCACTACAGATCCCACTACAGTTCCTACTACAGTGGACACTACAGTAGACGAATCCAACCTTTCACCAGCCGACGACAAGCAACCTTTTCTTTCCATTACAGTGGACACTACAGTAGACGAATCCAACCTTTCACCAGCCGACAACAAGCAACCTTTCCTTCCCATTACAGTGGAATCTACTACAGTGGAAACTACTACAGTAGAAACTACAGTTCCCACTACAGTAGACAAACTCAACCTTCCAGCAACCGACGACGAGCAACCATCTTTCCCCTACACAATATATGACTTTACCAAATCCGGCTTAGTAGTATCTGAAATCAGTGGGATTCATGTAAGGGAGCAATATCATCAAATCATGGAGATCGTCGGCCAAGCTTGTGGCATATGCCCAAAGTGTACGAGTGACAATCGTGCTCAGGATTTGATTGATACGATCATTGAAATGCGATTCCCAGACTTGGATAGCGCCCTCTTTCGGGATGGGATTCTGAGTGAATTTGGATTCGACGACTACTGGAATGAGCTCATAGTGGCCAAGCCCGAGGTCAGGAAAGGGTATGTGAAGTATGAAAATTGGTACGCAAAGGTATGGGAAGATATTGAAGCGAATAACGAACTGCCAGCTATTTCAAAGGCTATCGAAAAAGAGTTTGCTCAATCTCGAGATTTTAGACGGATCTTGGCAGGTAAACAATACCCGAGATGTAAATGGAGAAAGAGGGGATTACTTCTCTTCGTGATGAGAATGCGGAGAATCCGAGGAAAGCTAGAGGAACGCCCCCAGACGCAAGAAAAACAAGAAACGCAAACGATAGAAACCAGTGCAAACAAGAACCGCAAGACTAGAGACAAGGAGAAGAGGAGGAAAGTCAGGGACCGAGAAGATAAGGTCGCGGCCAAATTGCTCCATGATACATTGGAAGAGTTAAAAAGGGTGACGGCTGAAGCAAATGCATGTAATTATATAACGGCGCGCCGAGAGAACAAGCCTTTTGCAGAAATTTGCCCTCCTGAAGTTGTTTATTCGGTGTGGGAAGAGCAAGTAGTATTCCTACTATTTATCAACATTCCGAAATTTGTTTCATTGGTGAAGTTGAACTAGGACCCGACGGAAATACGTTGTAAGAGAATTGGTAACATACATCAAGGGTTGAGCCAAGGTACTGCAGAAATATTGGCATGAACTTGAAAACAGATTCTGGGGCAAGACAAAAGCTAGTTAATTCATGCATAGCATCATTCTACCATCGATTGTACATAAAAATAGCAATTCACCGTCACCTCCGGTGGACCAACTTCATTAAGAGTGGTTGACAGCGAGGATATATACAATCATTTCAGCGTCTATCAGTATGTTCGTATGATGATCAAGACGAATCGCGAGAGAAATATGATGAACCGCAAGCTAGCTCAAGTATCAGATGAGATGTAGTAGATGCCCAATATTCAGACGAAAAATGTAGTGAACAAAAACGATGTCAGAAACGATGATCTAAAAATGGCTGCGATGATAGGTAACTAGAGTCGATAGGTAACCGTTCCTCCTCAATGTATTGTACCGGATTTATAGTTAACAGACACCGAGAAATCAAGACAGCAAAAGAATGCATAATGTTAAGTGTATCGTGTGTGGCCTACAAGAAAGCTCTAAGGGCACAGTGCCGTGCCCCTCTATGGAAATAATCCACGTACAAGAAAACACGTAGCGTGGATAATAAAGACTGCAAGCAACGTGTCGTGTGCTGGAATACTCAGCACTCGACTTCAATATTCGCTTTCCTTTGCAAAAAGCAAATTTGTTAAGACGTGTTCAAATTTCTTATTCTTGATGAAACGATATCGTTACATGATAATTCTTTCGCGATGGCTTGAATGGTTGTATGGTGGTGTTGATCTGCTATAGTGGTGGTTGCAACAAGACTCAGGATACAAATGGAAAGGCATATTTATGTAGATGCGCTTCTTGCGCTTCTTCTGGTGTGATGAAACGCCCCCTTTCGTAATTATAAGCGCCAGGGTCTTTAATGCATACGGAATATAATCAATATCACTGCTGCGGTTCTTAGAATAGCAGTAGGATTTTAAGTTTTTCATTTCAACCACAAGCTCAAATCTGTTGAAAAAATAATCCGTTCGACAAGACCAAAAGTCTACAGGTTCTTCAAACCTCGTTGAGACCGCGCGATTGGTTTCAACATCTTGTATAATATGATGAAGTTGCAATTGTCCCTTCTCTACCTCAAACCGGCCTCGTCCCGGAAGACAGCGTAGGCAGAGAGAGAATGCATATATAGTAAAGGTAAAGCAATAACCTGATAAGGCGTATCAAAAGAACAGATCGATTCCACAAACTTCGACGTGTACAACAATTTAAAGTATTCAAAACGCCTACAAACAGAACTTGCTGCTGTGTTGTGCAATGGTATGTCCAGTGGGGGTTCCACGAAACTATTTATCAATAGTCATCTCTGACATCGAATAGGCTCTAAGCTTGAGGAGAACAACTATTCATTGACTTCAATGAATACAAACAACAACACTCTTGTTGGCGCCTTGTCCCATGATGATGTGATTCAGATAGTTTTTGGTACCATAGCCACGGTAGTAGGAGTTTTTAGTGTAGTGTTGGCATGGGTGGCATGGAAATCGCATAGGGTGCAGACTGGGCGGAATTCTTTCAACGAAGGTATGATTTTGCCTTCAACTTGACGAAATTTTGTAGAGTCATGCTGACGTATTTTATAGCTCCATCTTCTGACACATTCGAGCTTCGCCTGGTGGTCACAAATACAAACAACATAACATAGGCTGGAAAAGAATCGTTCATGGGTAGCGGATCGGTATTATTTGACTCAGGTTAGTCAAGCTTTTGACAGAAGATATGAAAAATCTTGTCGACTTGGGAAGAAGCTTGTTTATGGATATACTCGGAGATATGGGAGAGTCATGTAATCAAGGTCCTGATTAGCCGCAGACAATACATATTTGTGGCTGATAGTACGAGTGAGATATCGACTAGAACTAGCTCGATAGAATAAATTTATTTTCGACACATCGTTTTTCCTAAATTGTCAAACAACTTGTGTACCCCTCTGAAGTAAAGTATTTTTTCACAACCCGAACAGGCTTTTGCCTTCCGTAATGCCCACAGGAAGGGGCACGTTGGTAACAACATTACCAATCTTTGCTTTGATTTCCTCTGTCTTTATTTGAATCTGCTTTACTTTCATCAATTCGTTGGCTGTCAATCGCTCAGTAGCTTCAATCAGTTCTTGGTCTGGAGGCAATAGCGTCCACGCAATGCTAATGTGAAATGCGTCTGATAAATCGGCCATACCATTGAAAACATCCCTTTTTTGCTGTGTCTTGCCCCTGAAAGGTTTGCTGTGTTGAGAGTGGTGAGCACCTTTTGCTACTTTGTGACCATTTACACTTGTTCTAGAATTTGCGTACAGGGGCGGCTGTCCAAACTCTTCCACGACTTTGTTACTCACGTGAAGTAATTTGTTCAAGGCATTGCTTTCCGGTGTATTGACGCGGAGAACCAAAAACCATCGAGTCTTTTCATAATTAGGAACCCACGCTAAACCGGAGAAGCGCATCTCAAAACTTAAAATTTGTTAATCACGTGTAACCCCTAATTCAAACGGACAATGGACTTACGGACGAACTCCGGAAGACTTTATGACTTGTTCGAATGAAGTCAGGAAGATATCTTTGACATCTTTGGAAAAGCCAATGGCTCGTGAAAGACTGACATGTAAGGGAAGAGGAACCCCAAGATCATTTGACAAAAATGTTTGAATGCCGTGGGTTTTGAACGACTCATCAACTTTTGAGATCAAGGATGATATAAGATCAAATTCTGCAGTCGAAGGATACCCTCGATTGAATTAGCGAAACGAGCTTGACAAGAAGGTTAAACCAAGGCATTTATCGGTACTCACACTCAATATAAATATGTGTTGGCCAATTGCCCTCGATATGAGGAGTCACTCTTTTTCTTCCTCCGTGTAAGCTTGGATCATCTCTTGTACTGTTCCTCACGGTTGAGGCATAAAGATCATGAAATTTGGAGGGCAGTGGAGGTAATTCTGACGAGGATGAAGAAATGTCTCGCTTTCGCTTTAAATTAATTGAATTGGAAATTTTTGTGGTGACATTCTTTTCATCATCTTCACTGTTGTGTTGATTGACTTTATTGACTTTAATGTCATGAGGAAGGTCTTCGTCTACGACATTTTCCTCGTCGGACGACATGTAATCGACCAGGGCCATGATATGATGATGAATTTAAACTTTGTCAGCCTTCCTTGGCTGAAGTATGTATGATTGATTCCGAATTGAAGCACCCGACGGTTGCACTAAGAAGCAACCAAAGTAATAAGACTTGAACCCAATTGACACGTGCTGGGGTTCATTCGGAGTCAAGTTGGATGATTAACTTCCTTCGTACCTACTCGTATACTCGTATACGATAAAGGGTTGTACCCGGCCGGGCTTCCCGTAATTCATCAACGTCTACTCCGTACTCACTCAAGAGTTAAAGGACCCAATGTGAAATGTGAATTTGGGCGCAGACAAATGCAACAAATGAATCTTCATCAATCAAATCATTCCCCAGATCCTAGTGTCAAGCAGAAGGTAAAATCTTTTCGAGTTCGACCAAGGGAGTTGGTATTCGTGGCAGTGCGACTGTTCAAAGGGCTCGATGCTGGACAAGATGCTGGACAAGTGAAAAGTCTAGAACCGACTTTGACCCATTAATTAGACGTCAGCGTACGGAGTCTATTGAGGCTTTGCGGAGTTGCAAGGTGGTGTTTTGTGAATCTTGGGAAAACAAATGAAATGATCAATTGATAAAATGATCTGCTGTTGGAAGTGGATCGTGAAGTGCCTGACTAATCCATTTTTGGATCGACTTGCTGCAGTGTTGAAGTGTGATTGGAGTGATGGAAGTGAAGTTTACCCAAACACATCCACCCAGTGTCATCCACCAATCTATCAAACACTCGTCCTAGGGTGACCATCACTCGGCCTTATCTAGCGTTATCAAATTACATCATTGGGTCCAAGGATACCCTGAAATATTGCGTACCTCTCTTGTCTTTCGCCAGCTAGCGACGAGTACGAACGATGAGCACGATGAGGAACCCGTACCAGGTAGGTAGGTAGAGGTACCATATCTTTTTATCTTTTTTCTTTTCTTTTCTTTCTTTTTCTTCTTCTTCTTCTTGCTCTTCGTTGCTTAACGCATCCGGCCTTCCCTTCGATTTCTAATTATACCTTGATCCCTTGAATTGTTGTATACCTTGTTAGCAGCGAGCTAATGACCTACTTTACCTACTACCCGATCACCTAGTCCTCGACCAAATAGTACTTGATACTTTTCCTCAAATAGAAACAACCCTTCTTCTTGTCTTCTTCTCTTCTTCTCTTCTTCTCTTCTTCTCTTCTTCTCTTCTCTTCCCTTCTCTTACACCATCTAATAATCTCACCCGAGAAGAAATCCCCCGTTGTGTCTTCACTACTTCACTACTAACAAGAAAAATCACCTGGTGATTAATAAACATTCTATTCACGGCTCACTCGGATCTCTCCAGTATCAAACATCACACCACATTTGGTGCTTAATTATCTGCAAAATGGAGAGCTCAAGTGATAAATGGGTATGTTAAGACTCTCCATCTGTATCTTGATCAATCAATCAATCAATTCACATACATAAAGCTCTCCATCCATAAAACTCACAATATCAATCACAACCTACATCACAATCACAATGACCACTAATAACCATTTCTCCATCCAGGCTCAACAATATCTAATCGATCCTCTCAATGCTCCTCAGCCGAGCGAAGAAACAGGTCCCGGAAGCCATTTCAAATCTTCCATTCCACACACCCAATCTAGCAGTTTCGGACGAAACAATTCCACCAAGAAAACCGCCCATTCAACCGTGTCATCCTACCCAACGCCTCCCTCCTCAGCTAGTCCCACCAAATCGTCCTTCAGCTCCAACAATCCCTATTCATCTCATCGCCAATCGGCTTTTGGCGGCTACTCCAAATCCAACAGTGGAAGTCTCCGCAACAGTCTCGAAGAACCTGTGAGCGATAATGACAAAGGACGTCGACGAGGAAGTTCACTAGGTGAACGCTATCCTGGCGACATGTCTCACAGACCTCTCGATCAACTACGTCAAGAGACCAAAACCGCATATCGATCTCCGCATCTCCGTAAGAAGCACATTCCAGGTGCCGATACCATTGATTCTCTCGATCGTACTGCCATCGGTGGTGCGTATCATCATGGAGGCCCTTATGATGCTACATTGATGGCGCGTAATACAAGCTACAAAAATTCCCCCGTAGCAGCGGTTGCGGAATCGAACGCGGAAGCCATTAGAGCTACCCCGAGAGAAAACATTCAAGATAGTTTGGAGAGACATATTCCATTATCAGGAACAGCTGTGATTCCCCCAGGAATGCCGGGTCCGGATGGTAGAATCATGAACTATGAAGAAGGTGCGGATTTGATGAGGGAACCTGATGCTGCTGGTGGTGCATACAAGAGATGGGATCATGTGGTATGTTTGTTTTTCTCCTGTTCTATCCATCCTTGTTTCTACTGTCATAACATGTGAATCCCACAACTTGACTCTTGAACTGCAAAGATCAGACGAGAGGAACTTCATTCTACAACCCCAACTCCATATCACTTTAATTCCAAATTCAGACGAGACTACACCCACCCACCAACCCAACCAAACCCAAACTAACACAACCCCCCTAGAAATACCTCCCCGAAGACTACAAAGGCAAAGGCGAACCCTCCTTCACCATCGAAAAAGCCCTCAAAGACCACAAACGCGCCCAAAAATCTCACCGTCGCAACATGTCGGACGGAAACTCCGCCTACGAAATGCAATCCCAATCCTCCTCATCCGCATCAGGATCGAGTCTCCGCCCTCCTCCCACAAACCGCCAACGAAGCGCAAGCGGAGGTAACCTCACAAGCGGCGATGGCAAAAACATGACGACCACGAGCGGAAGAGCAATGGAGACGGTAGACTTCTCAAATGATGACGCGGGCGTAGGAAGCAGCCGAAGTAACGGGGCGGGAAAATCGCACAAGATGGGCGAGGGTCTCAAGAGAAGATTCGGGAGCTTGAAGAGGAGTTTGAAGGGGAGTGAGAATTAGGTAGCTTTGGATGGTATACTTACTTCGTTGTGGGAATGCTTAAGAGGGGGATGGTAATGGCTCTTGGTTGGAAGAAATGTCTCTGAACGTGGGCGTGCACACACCGACATGAACATATGGGATATATGGATCGGATGGGATGGATGGGAATGATGTATTTTTAGATATGGAGAAAAATTGTACGATGTAGATTTTCTTAATGAATTCAAAGAAAGTATATATGATAACAGATGGATGGAAGGAGTATTCGCAATTTAAAATCCTTCATGAATACCTAGTTTCACTTTCCTCTATTTCTCAATCAACCACAACTATTCATCTGATAATTACCTAGGTAGGTATCCCCTCCCATCTCCTCCCATCTCATCTCCTCACATCCCATCAATCACCCACAAACCTACCTACTCACTCACTAAAATCACCTCGGAAGTTCAATCATTATTCTGTAAAGATATGCAATGTTATATTATTCCCGACATGCTACTCACATCCATACATAGCATATCAATATTTACATCACCATCACCATTACCATTACCATTACCGTCATCCTCCACCCACCTACCCACCCACTCATCTATCCATGCATGCATCCCTCCATCCATTAAGAGATTAAACACCTACTTCCCTCCCCCACCTTGATTTCCATGCACTTCTTTTCCACCAACCCCTTTCCCCTCATGACACTCATCTGTTCATCCAAACTCCTCCAAATAAATCAAACCCCCATGTCAAACTCCATAAAACCAAAATGCACAGAATGCATATATACTATTTGGGTATCCCACTGGCGCACCATCCACAAACAATCCTTAACGCCTTTGTCATGCGTGTATAAACCCCCATCACTTATTCCATCCGTCTAAATCGCTTGCTGTCACTTCCAAAATAGTTCCCAAAACGTGAAATTCCCTCCCAATCGACTTTCAATTACTTCGACTCTGTCCTTGACTCTTAAGTACTAATGCCTCAACCTTTGGTATTAGGTCTGGCATGCGAAATGGTTTAGAAACAACATCATCCTGTTTGCAATTGTTAGCCTCAGTTCCCAGAAAATGTGTCTTTATACAAAAGAATTAAAGGGCGCATACCATCCCGGTAGCTAAAGCCGTTTCAATCTGTTCCAATCTTGCATTTGCCGTAACTGCAATTATTGGTACATGGCGAACAATCGTTCCATCAGCTTCTAATGCTCGAATCTTCTTAGTGCAAGTAAGACCATCCACTAAAGGTTGAATTGTTAGCATTCCTATTTCAAAGTCCAGTACAACAGAGAGAACTATGGACATACTTATTGGCATTTCAAGATCCATTAAAACACATGAGATACTGGTTCTTTCCGTGGTGGGACTTTCATGCTTCCAAAAAGACGACCCTTCCAATTTATGCAAAGCCTCTAACCCATGGTTGCTAACTTCCGTCACAAACCCGGCTCTATGTAATTGTTTTTGCAAAACGCGCTGATTAACAAGATTATCTTCAACGATAAGAATTGTAATGTCTTTGTAATCAACCTTTGGACTTGGTGATATCCTAGCTATACTTGTTGAAGCTTCTCCTTTGGATCTATTTACTAATGTAAGCAGGAAATCATCGCAACGCAAAACAGAGGTCATCTCAAGCATATGGAGATGGAATAAGTTTAAACGTACTGGGTCTGCGCTGGCTTTTCCAACGAGCTGTTGATACTTTCTACTGGTGTAGGATTTGTGGTACGTGTAGAAGGCTTTCGATTTATGGCATTGTGATTTGGAGAAGATAGAGGTGACGCTTCGGGACTGCGCTCAGCCCGGCGAGCCTTGACGTAAAACGCAAAACAACTGCCGACTCCTTTCTCTGAGGAGACTCCAATTTGCCCACCTTGAAGTTCGGTTAACTCTCTCGAAATGAATAATCCTAGGCCTGACCCGCCATATTGAACGTGAGTACGTGGAGACGCCTGTGAAAATCGTTGAAATAAAATCGACACTTCTTTTTCATCAAGACCTCTGCCTGTATCTCGAACAGCAAATTTCAGATACAAATCTTCGCCTGGACCCCATTCTGCTTCATCCATTGCCAAACCCGTAACACTTGAGCGGGAAGGAAAATACTGAACGGTGGTATCGTTGTTTGCTGGATGTTCCTTCGTTGCACCAATACTCACAATGATTGATCGTTGAGGCTGATTTGTCGTGAATTTAATAGCATTGGTTAGCAGGTTTATTAGGACTTGTAATAGCCGTGATGGGTCAAGTTTTACCCAATTGATGTTGAGGTCAGCATACGAGTCCTGTATTTGAAATTCTATCGAAATGTCATGTTTTTCCATATCTCCTTCAAACATCTTGATGGCACGCCTGGCCACAGATATTGGTTGCGTTGAGACAGGTGCTACAACTAGAAGCGCCGAGTCCAATTTAGACAAGGTCAGAATATCATCAACGATGCGTTTCTGATGCTGTGCACAAAGCGCGATAGTTTGAGCTGCATCAATACTGCTTTCGATTAGTTCTGATATCTCCTGAGGCGCTTCCGCACCTCGCATGCTTGATTTCAGGCCCTTAAGCGCAGGAGCAGTTAAAGCACTGGTGATTTCATCCGAACATTGTAGGATCGCACTCAACGGATTGCGCATTTCATGGCTAGTCATATCGATGAAATTCTCCTGTTGTCGCTTCAGCTCTATTGCCTCTTTCGTCTTTTGTTTCTGAAACTCCTCTGCCCATTTTTGATGTGATATGTCCGTGATACAGCCGAAGATGCCCATCAGGTTGTTGTCTTTATCCCTAAGCGAAGTGCAATTCATGAGAGCCCATGTATCGGTCAAAGCATGCTTACTTTGCCATGGCGTTTTAAAACGGAACTCTTTCGTCACGTTTACTTTCTGTGAAACCAACTTGTTCCAGGTAGCTTGGACTCCTTCGCGATCTTCTTCTTTTATGCTGTCCATCCATGACTTTGCGCTATTATCAGATCGAGGATGCCGCGATATTTCCCACCAAGCATCGTTAGAAAATGTGATCTCTCCCTGAGAATTTGCAATGAACATTCCAACGGGGGCCATTTCAGCCATGCGGGTAAATCTACTTTCACTTTCCACAGCTTCTTGGGTGCGCAGGTTGACAAGCTCCGATAACTCTTGACGATCTTGAGCAGCAATACGCGCTGCTTTCTGACCTTTGCGGATTTCTTCCTCATAGAGAATAACTGAGGCCATTGAAGTTGCCATTTGGCGAGTCATGAGCTCAACAAACAAGCTATAATCGTCATCATAAGGTCTTCTTGGATTCACTCCTATGACCAAGAAACCTAGTATGGACTCTCTGCTAGTGGCATGGAGTGGTATGGCAACAGCAGCTCGGCAAGGATCGCCGAATCCTACACAGTCGAGATCTTTGATTAGTTCCGTTGGTAGGGTCCCTTCCTCGGTGGTAAGAAGTACAGGCCTATCAAGCCTCATACATTCTCTCAAATATGGGGCGAATCCATCTTCACTGAGATGAAGATCCAATGGTGTAGCGGCTGATTGATGGCCCGAAGGTACACCAATTGTTCCCTCCAACACACAACATGGAGCTTGTGACATGCTTCCGGAGTTCAATGATCTCTGTGAGCTCATGTCGCTATCGACATCCTCATTAACCGAGTAGAGAAAAGCGAACGGTATGTCAAAGGGGTTATACTCCAATGCTTTGATGACTTGTGCCCAAAATCCTTTAATGTTTCTCGCAGTAGCTGTCTTCTCTCCTGCTTCTCGCAAAGTAAGCATTCGACGTTCCGATATCACTCTTCTCGTCTTTTCCCATGCCGGATTGTACAGTCCGACTACAGAGCCATCCTCTCCGACTAGTGGAATTATACTCCATGCAAAATAGCATTCTTCTAGGTAACCATTTCGTTTGATGAAAAGTCTATCTTCATCTTTCATGGTGGCTTGGCCTGATGATTTTGCTTTTGCAAAAACCGCTTCAATATCATCCCAGATTTCCGCCCAAGCTGTTTTGTAACTTTGTCCCATCAAGCTAGGGTGTTTTTGTCCGGCTAGTAATATATACGCTTCGTTGTAAATGGCTGTATATTCAGCCCCCCAGTACATGGCCGCTGGATGAGGACTTCCCATGATAAGATTGCACATAGCTCTCAAATCAAAACTCCAATTTTTCATTGGTCCAAGAGGAGAGGCTGACCAATTAACATTACGGGTGAATTGAATGTGTCGAGGTAGCGCTGCGGTTAGCGGAAGTCTTGTCCAATCGAATGAAGACCCATCGATGTGTGCTACTTGATTGTCAACAGCAAGCGATTCCATCGGGCTCGAACCTGGGACTACTGTAGCTACATCTCCAAAGTAATCCGACGGCTCAGGGAATAGATCCGTTGAGCTTCTCAAATCTTGACCTAATACGAAACCTGGATTCGGTATAGCAGGGCTACTATTATTTGCGTTCGATGAGGTCGAGTTTGTTGTGGGAATTTGAGCTCTAACGCCATTCATTACCCGAAGACGTTTTCGCAAAGTCGAACAACTCCATGTGAACCCTCCATACAAAAATGACGGCAAGCAAATATCTAAAGATTCGCTTTCTTTGCTCACAAAACTTAGCACCCATGCTTTAAACTCCGGAAATGCATGTGTAACGATTGTAGGGGAGGATAGATCCGCAAAGCCTGCTACCATTTCCAATAATGGATTCATAGCCCGTAGTGACGCATTCGCATATTCTAGCCGTAAGCGACCGCCGGGTATGTAATTTTCTTGATTAGAAACATCTATTATGAAAGTTGGTCTCTCATCTTGCTCTAAAAGTTCGATTATGCCCACTTTATGAATCAATGAGCCTTCTTGAGGATTCGCGCTCAGCTTAGGACTGGCTGCGCGCCTTTGTTGTTCTAGATTCAGCGTGGGCGCGATGGATTTACCAGGAGGATTCGAGTTTTTCCCCAATATATTACCACGAGCTAACCTGTTAGTAACGCACCGTCAGTATCACTCCTCCGAGCTTTTCAAAACAAAACAGTGTGAAAGTGATGCTATAGAAAGCGCGAAAGATTCCAACCACTAAGCATGGGAAAAATTCAAGAAGAGAATCTAACAGTCAACTGACTTGAGTATTGTTATACCATTGCCATCTTTATCTAGTTTCGACATAACTGTCGTGTCTATATTTGGAGGACTTTGCGAGGAATGCGTCCTTTTGAGTTTATGAGTTGTAAATCGGGGAGATCTAGGCGATTGTAAGGTTGTAGGACAGTCGTTTGCTGCTTCATTATCTGGCTTGGATATATGACAAGGTTTTAATTTTGCGCGGTGTCGTTTGAACTAGATAGACAGAGAGGTTTTAGTTTCATGAATGTGCAAATTTCAAACAAAAATATGTATTCAGAGAATCTTACAGGTGGTTCTGAAATTGTAATGTCGAAGCTTCTCTCTGACACATTATCCTCCTCTCTAGAGTGTTTCGAGGCTTGCAGTGACGGCGATAACGGTGACAACTGAGGGGTTGAAAATAGAGTGGCAGACGAGGCGGTCGATACTCTTCTTTGGGTCTCTAAATCTTCTGTCGCTTGCAGGTCTAGGTCTCTGTTTCTCTCTCGACCTGAAGAAACAAAGGTAGGCCAAGGATTGTCGAGATTAATAAATTGAGGTGGAGAATTGTTCTTGTTTGTTGACGTGAATTGTGTAGATTCTCGAGCATGAGCATCTAATTCTTCTGTACCATGTGTTGAAATCAACCCCTGTCCCTTTGTCCGATGCAAGCCAGATGCGTAGCCATTAGCCCCACATGACGTCTGTGCCAATGTCGGTTCTAGTATTGGTATGGGGGATTGATTAATTGTGATTGTGCAGCGGCTGACACTGTTGATGAGCGGCTTGTCATTCCTGACTTTGTTCACTTCTCCTTGATGCAGAAGATGTTGATGTTGATGCTGTGGTTGATGTGGTTGATGTTGTTCATGCTGTTGACAATTCTCCCCAAATCTTGAAGCAAAGATAGATTTTGGTTCCGAGGTCATTAGTCCTTCTTTATCTTAGTATGACATGCAATGTTTGCATTTAATATGAAGAGGGTCCGTCTCCTTGATCCATGCATTCCATACAATCTTAGGGAGGAAAAGGGCAGAACGGCGGACCGGCGGAGGTGGTTTGTCTCTTTCTCCTAGCTGATCCTAATAGAAGCTGATCTCAACCAAGCTCAACTAATTGATGGAGTATCGTATCAGTGTCAATAGAGCAGCCTTGACTCCCTACTTATCTGACTCAAGTGAATTGATCGAGGGGTAGGTAGGCAATCGGCAATCGTACTATTGTATGTACTATTGTATGTACTATTGTATGTACTATTGTATGTACTATTGTTGAAATGGTTAATTGGAAAAGATGCTGAGTAGGCAGATAGCTAGGTACTGCAGCAAGTAGGTAGTATAAAGATTAAACGATAGGGGTAAGGCAATGAATGGCTTTTGATACATTTGCATCCGTTGACGATGGATAATCTGTGTGATTTGTGGTGGATTTGGTGCGGATTATTCTCCAAATAGATAGAGAAGAGACGGGAAGCAATAGTAATGGGGAATCATAGCTGAGCAGTCACTAGCATGATAAATAAGTTGTACTGTTTTTCTGGTCAAGTTGCGGCTTTGTGGTCACTGGTTGAAGTTTCTTCTGCTCAGTGGTTGAAACTTGTACATCCAAAGAATCAAAGAATGAAAATGGATGGATGGATGGTTTCACGGTAGGAGCAACTAAGTAGGAGGCACCAAGGACTAGGTATTTACTGTATTCCTTCTTCATACAGTACAAGATACGTGACTAAAAAAGAATTTAATATAAGAAGTGTGGCAGCATTCACAAATCCTCACAAAGTACCTAGTACCGATTACCTACTGGTGTACCTAGAAAAGAATAGCGACGACAATCCTTCCCTTCCTCAGTGCTTCAATACATTAGATGAATGATTGGTCCGATGCATCAAACTTTACCTAGCAAAAGAATGCGGAGGGACACTGGTACATCGCTAGGTACATATGTTCCGTAGATAGTAGATAGCAGGCACTAGGTACTGGGTACTAGGTATCGGGGCAATCTTACTCTTTGTGAATCCATCTCGTCGAGAATTTTACTGAAGATAGACAAAAGGGGAGAAAATCCAAGGGGGACTAGGATGCCTTAGACTCCTAGGGGGCCGAGGGGGCTAGAATGAGATCGTTGATCAATCTGCAAGATTATCTACTAGGTACGCAAGTTGGTCGAGGTCCTGACTGGCAGTGAGTGACTGCAGCTAATCCTAAACATTTGGCTCTTTGGTTACAACATTGGGGAAAAGGAAGCGAATCAATGATCCTTCATGTCAATTGTCACGTTTCTGATGATTCTGGGGTAACGAGGTACTTTACCTACCTTGGTACACCAGTGGTATATAGTATTCCGAATCGTGCTTCTTGAGTCAGTCCCTTTAAACTTACACACCTTACGCATATTACATCAGAATCTCATTGGGTCTACGATATAGACTCTAGACTCTTGAGATACCAGTATGTGCTAGGTCTACATTCCAAGGTGATGGAATATCCCTAGGAAGGTACTTATTACAACCTGTTACTACAAGTCAAATCATTCTCTCGACCACATTAGGGATCGAGATCAAAATGTCTGTTCGTGTTTGATTATCTCATTGTTTGTGTTCGGTCAACTCTATTGCAGACTCCAAGCTGGTGGTAGTGGGTTCAAGGTATTGGAAAATATCGAGATTGAAAAATTCCTCGAGTACCTATGTTTCTAGAACGTTGGAAAGGGTGTCAATACCAAGGTACTCACTAGTTATTGAATGTAATATTTCAACCATTCGGACATTTTTCAGGCGGTTCGTTTTGTTCTCAATATTCCCTCACTCACACCTACTCATTAAAAGTACTGATGCTAATGCTTGATCGCAGGAAGAAGCTTTGATCCCGACTACCTACCGAGCTACCCTACTGAGCTACCCTACCTCGCCTACATAGGTAAACCACAATACGAGCTCGGCTTACATGTTTTCGTTATTCGGACCTATGCTCCGCAGTTTTTATGTCCTCTCTAGCAATCGGTTGGACTCGTCGATGATTAGTATTTATTGTTCCTCGAATAAGGTTAAACTGCTTGATCAATGACGTCGAACCTGTGCCTTACCGCTCGAGGAACGGCTCGAAAATTGATATAACGCCCGACACTAGCATTTTGAGGCAGTGCGACCGCGGCCTAGTGGTTAAACTTCCTCGCAGAGTCGCAAGTGAAGCGTTGAATTTGTTGATCTCGACGTTCTAGTTTCTTTGCACGCACCGCTGTGCAATTTAGGTGCTATTAGCGTTTCCTAACGGTCTTCTTTTCAATCGAAAATGTTCTGTCTGCTTATCAATCAATTGCAATCTGCACTGACATCTGGATGTCACAACATGTTAATACTTCAATCAATATTCCCCTCTGACCCTTTTTGAAATTCAATCTTAGATGCCTTCTGGAATCCAGTAGCTCATAATCGTTGGCACATTTCCAAATGCTCGCGTGCTAACAACTTCTTACCATGGGAGACTCGACGAAAGAGCCAATGCCTAATAAACTTGATCATGTTCCCACCACGAAGCAGCCCAAAACGCGGCCACCGGCTGGATTTCGCGAGAAGATATTACGGAAGCCATTGCCATACTATAGCGGACCATATTCAGTTGGACAAATGGACATTGAAGTACCCGTGCGAGAACCAAGGACATTCTCCAATATCAAGAGAAAACATAAGCATGTTTTAAATCTCGAGACGGTCCTCTTCAGTGTTTTCTACCCTTCAAGTTTTGGGTCCGGTGAAGGGCTCTCCCCAGAAGGGGAAAAGAAATGGAGTCGAGCGACATGGCTACCAAGGCCTCGTGTTGAGGTGGCAAAGGGTTATAGTAAATTTGCAGGCCTTCCTTCATGGCCTACTATGGCATTCTTCGGCATGACAACTGCTTTTACCAAACTTCCTGCTTTCCGCAATGCCAAGTTGGCAAAACATTGGCCTCCCGAAAATGCTCGAGAATCCGAATTCGGATACCAGACGAAAAATAGCGCGGGAGAACCTCCACCTGGAGAACCAGAGTCACAATGTTTTCCATTGTTGATCTTCAGTCATGGCCTAGGAGGAACGAGAACTACATACAGTTCTGTCTGTGGGGAATTTGCCAGTTATGGTTTTGTAGTTGTGGCTATAGAACATCGAGATGGTTCGGGACCACGTACTTTTGTCAATTTACCAAAGATGGGTGATAAATTTGGATCACAGAATGTAGATCATTCTGACGAGGCGAGAGAGAGAGGCTATGAGAGATTTGATTATGTTTTTCCAGAAGGAAATGCCAGGGACACCACACCTAATAATGAAAAAGGGTGAGCTAACCCATTCACATTTGATTGAGGGTCCAAAAAGACTCGGCGAAATAAACTCGGGACATCTAGAACTTATTCAAAAGGTTCGGGAAACACATCCAAGTGGACTGTTTTACATTCTACTACTAGCCATTTAAATAATACAAAATGCACACTCAAAAATTCGATTGCAAAGACAGATTAACAATCACTAACTCGATTCTTTTAGTGTCGATGGCGAACTTCGCGCTGCCCAAATACAACTTCGCCTTGCTGAAATTGAAGAAGCCTACTACATCATGACGCAAATACATGACGGAAATGGCGCTCGAATCGCTGAAGCCAACCTCCGGCAAAATTCTCCTGGTCGCGTCGGTGGCTCCTCCCGTGGTCTAAAAGGTGTCGACTGGCAGAGTTGGGAGAATCGCTTCCACCTCCAACAGGTCACCATGCTTGGACATTCTTTCGGCGCCGCCACTACCGTCGAAGTTCTCCGCTCCCAAACTGAACGATTCCCATACATTTCGCAAGGGATTCTGTATGATCCTTGGGGAGGCGCAATCCAACAAGCAGACTGTGATTCAGAGCATCTCATTCACAATCCTTTACTTTGTATCAACAGCGAAGCATTCATGTATTGGCCTTCAAATTTTTCTAGAATCATGTCACTCTGCCGCGAAGCCAAATCACAAGGTACGCTGTGCTGGCTTCTGACTGTCCGTGGTAGCATACACATCTCGCAATCAGATTTTTCACTCCTTTATCCGAATGTTAGCAGTTTCCTGCTTAAAATGACCGTCAATCCACGGAGAGCCATCGATTTAAATATTAATGCCAGTCTAGAATTTTTAAAAATGGTAATGCCAAGGAGAATCAGCGCCATGAATAGAGGCACTGATGAGGGATTGCTGAAGGTCGAACAATTAGATGAGTTACCAGATGTGCATCAGCCGAAGAAGAAATATATTGCGGGTAGATTGAGAATTCCACATGAAATGCGCATTCGATTAACACCACAATGGATACGGATGACGAAAGGGAAGACGAAGAACTGTCAGGAAAGGTGCGCTTGTAGGCATGGGAGACGGAAACCAAAGAAAAACATCGCGACAGATCCACAGGGGAAAATACTGCCGGGCTTGGAAGATTTAGAAATCGGGGAAGAGATCTGGATGCATGTTGCGCCGACGGCGGAGGAGCTGAGGAAGCATGGGATTGGGGGCAAAAATGGAAATCAAAGTGCGGCTAATGAGAGGGATAGAGATGAGGGGAATAGCGATGGTATGGTTCATTATGAGGGGCCAGGGGAGGGAGCGGAACAGAAGAATGAGGGGGGTGGGCTGGCGGGCCATAGGGGAATTGAACAGAGGATGATGGAGAGAGGGTGAGAAGGAATGGGTAGGGAGGTTTTCAGTATTAGCAGACTATATGTTGTAAGATTACATACAAGTAATAAATATTGTAAAATAAACCAAAATACCTAGATCTAGATCAATACAACGGTAAATAATACTATTTCTTTTTACAATATATATAATACAGTTACAGTCACAGTCACAGTTCAACTATCCACAAACAATTCTTTCTTTCTTCACTGAAAAATTCCTATCCATTTCTACCTCGTACACTACACACAATACAAACAACTCTACACCTGTAATGCCCCGACCCCCCTCTCCAACAGAAACTCCCTCTATGCCCAATAAAATAAAAATAAAACATCGAAACCCCCTCATTCATACCCACTTCGTAATACCAAACCTCCTATCTAATATCCAAGTGCCTAGGTAGGTAGCTAGGTAAGTCTTACTTCGTAAGTTACACCAGTACTCTGTAATAAGTAAAAACTCGGAACTCGGAATGGTAAAACAGATGATAAAAAACTTGGCATGGCTTTCTGAGCGGGGTAGGGCAGATGTGTTATGTGTTAGTGGATGCAAGCTTATGGGTTGTGGGTTGTGAGTGTTTATTGTGTAGTAAATTGTAATGGGTATCAGATTCGACTTTTCTGCGACTTTCAGGGAAATGGATATTCTGTATACCCCGTGTTCGGAACGGGCCGCAGCTTGGAGTGTGTGGTTGTAATTGTGATGGTATGGTATGGTATGGTATGGTAATAAATGGAATGTTGGAATGGGTGATGAATAATGTATTTGTTTATGCTTTACGGAATGGCTGTATAGATAGGTATGAAATGAATCTTGGAATGAAGCAGCATAAAAATATATATGATATCCATGTGTACGTACATAAGCACAATAGATCGAGCTGAACTACATATATTAATTACTACCTCGTAGATAGTAACAAGAGCTGGGAATACACCGGTACCGTACGTACATCCAGACCTCGACACATAGATCCTGGCGTCGATCATTTTATGCCACTTTTTTGCGTGAATCCATAAATGGCATTCTGGGGAGTTGCATTCGAAGCAGAGGAGAGAGGATGGATGGGTGCAAAAAAGAAAGGGAAAGGGAAAAAAAGAACTTTCGATTCTTGCAGCAGACCGGTGGATCTGACTGAACCCATGCTGCTACCGATGATACTTTAACTTACAAAGGCAGGCAGGGAGGGAGGTACATAACAATGGATCAATCATATCGACCCAGGTATGTGCATATGCAAATCTATCATAGGTATAAATAACAAAGGCTTAACCCTTCTCCGTCAAGCGTGATTCAACCTTAAACATCCACATCGCCGACACTCATTCTCATTTGGTCCTCAGATAAACTACAGTGACAACGAAAATCATACGTGCAGCCAATATCGATTTCAGCACCTGCGCCAAGACATAACACAGACATCACACACATAACACGAGCGGAAAAGTATCGATGAAAGACAAGGTTTTTCTCAAACTGTGAGGAGCTTCTTTCATCATTTGTTGAATTTGTTAACACATGTTACCTCATTACCTGTTACCACTTCATTTTACCAATCTGTCTATCGTAGGGGTGGGGAGAGAAAGAGACCAAAAGAGACAGAAAAGGGAAAAGAACCTGTTAAAAACCTATCAATCTGGAGCACCCAGAGAATCTGCAAAGTATTACTGGTATACTGGTATACTGGTACTTGTCAAGTGCTTTTCTTTATTTGCATCTTTTTTTCATCCAGTTACAGTTGCGATGTGTGTTCTTGATCATATCGTATCATATCACATCACCAACAAAACATAACATCTCTCCATCACGAGGTAGCATCAGCTTTCTTTACTCTCTACTACTATTGCATCAGCAGTAGACTTTCGGCTTCGCTTTTGATTTCCATTTGATCTTGACGTTTCTGCTACCATTCCGTAAATTCGCTTTGACGATTATATTGTGGAAAAAAAGAAAGGGAAGAAGATAATTTTTCGTCAATCTCATTGCTTTATATCAATTGCTCTTCTCTACCTACCTACTTACTAGATTCCCTCACAATCACCATATCATAATCCGATACCAGCATTCACTACTCAGAGTCATTTAATGAGAGCTGCGCCGAAACGCTCAAATGTGTCATGTACTCCATTGACCCTGTCCACACACTTTAATTGATCATCTATCACATTTCAACCCAGGTACAATCTCGAAATGAATTTCAAGGAGAAAGCGAAACATGGCCGCTCGGAACCAGTGCGGAGAAACACGCTTGAACGTATGCTCGAGTTAGAGAACAGGAGCAAGGTACGCAAAAGAATATCTCAGATAGCCAAGTATTATTGCCTAACATACATAAATTAGCTGCAGCGCATGCAGGCCTCGACAGCGGCAGTCAGTCAACCGCTGCGTAATAGCTTTTTTCGCGAGAGGCGTCCGAGCAGTTCTAATGTATATACCAACTTTCCTCCCGAACGTCCTGTCCCATTCAGACAACCAGATCGAGCAATGACTACTCCAACACTATCCGTTGCGGTGCCTCCTGCGCAGATATTCGAAAAATCCAAAACAGCACCCAAAGCATCTAAAAAGGGATTTGTGGTTGAGCCGGTGAAGGAAAAGTCCCCGCAGATTGTTGCAGATGTAGATGCAGACAATTCTGATGCATCCTCAATATGTCGGTCGCCGGCTTGGGATGGTGGTGACGGCAAGCAAAGAAGAATGGCAAAGAAAGAAGCTCAAGATATGCGCAAGAAGGAAGAAGAGCGGTTAAGAAAAGAGAAAGAAAAGGCCGAAAGGGAGACCCGAGCCGCGGCACAAAAACAAAAGGGTCGATTGAGCAAGGCGCCTCCAACCAGCAAGCGCCTAAGTAAAACGATACCCGCAGCTCCAGTGGGTCGAGCCAACTCTGAACCTGCAGTACAAGTTGCGCCGGAAATAATACAATTGAGTCCTGATTTCGATGATGGTAGACGATCAAGGCGAACGAGTTTGGATCTTGGTCTCAAGAAACTTATGTCTTCTTTCAGATCCAGATCCAGATCCACAAGCATTTCTGCGGATGCAACTCCAAGAAATCAATCAAGCTCGAGTTCTCCAACCTCGACCGGATTCATTGGAGGCTTGAAATTGCAACAATCGAGTGAAGCGGCGGCCCAAAACGAACTCCGAGACGGGAAGTTGTCAAATAACAGACCAGCTAGCCACGGTAACAAACCTAGTCAGAGTCGACCACCCATATCACTTGAGAACTCTCGATATCGCACATTGGACCTGTTGGCTCCATTTGGAAACAGTGCACCTGCTGTCGAACTCCCAACAAAATCCCAAAGTGAGGACTCTTATAGCCCCCATACTTTGAAAGGCCCGGAAGCTAGTGAGCAGCCCGCTAGTGATCTAGAACCAATCATGAATAGAAATCCTCGAGCCCGAAAACCGAACGAAAATTTGAGATTGGATCATGGTACAGAGTCAACAGTGAATTATAAGGCCAATCATAAGCCTCAATCGCCGCATGCTGCTCCGCCATCTCCAGGCTTTAGATTTGGCTTGGAAAAAAGCATACCAGCAACCCAAAAAGTACAAGAACCTTTGTATTCTCAGAATTTTGATATATCTCCTGATGAGACTAATTCTGAAAACAACGAATATTTTCCACAGCTAAAAAACTTCGGCAAACAAGGAGATCTAAGCAGCTCAGCCCATGATATCAAATTGGATGCCGCTCCCATAAAAGAAGTTATGAGAAGAACACCGTCAATTCATAATGCGACTGGACGTAGCAGGTCGGTTTCTCGAGCTAGAGAAAATGCGGAAGTTGTGGACCATGAAGAAGATTTTCGGGCATTCATAGACGATGAAGGAGCTCCTCCAGGTTTCAGGCTCACTGCGCAACCATCCCAGAGCAGTATTCAACCAGAAGAGGGCATGTTCTCTAGGCGCGATTTGCAAGTCCCATCTTTCTACCCAAGCCCATTATCGCTCCAACCCAAAGGAGCCAAGAATGGTACAGCGAATATAAGTCATAGATATTCGTCTGCCCCAGACTCGCCTTCTCTGCAAACTTCTCATCTGGATGAACCTCTTAAAAAGTTACGCCCGCAATCTACTCTTTCGCCACGTGCCGCTGGCTTTGACAGCAGATCTGCACTACCGAGTCAAGCTGCTCGGAGAGTATCAGAACCCGAATACTTATCCCCCACCGTTTTGTCGCCTCTAGAAATCAATCCTGTGCCACAGCAGAAACTCTCTCCCCAAACGGCTAACACAACTTCACCTCGTCGCCAGAAGGACCGAAGATCTAGCTCTAGATCTTACACAGGATCAAGTGAAGAATATCTGAGTTTCGATGAGCATTCCAGTATCACCACTCCAGCAGTTTCAAGACCACAGTCGCAGAAGGGCCCTATTGCATCTAGTCATGATACCGCATCTCGCAAGTATCACAAAGTCCAAGATTCTTGGAATCAAACTCCGATCCCGGTTAAAATCAAAGATGAAGAAGGTAATACTTATACGCTAAGTGGCCAGGCCACTTCTACTTCACAATCTACAAACCTTCATGCGTCTTTAGCTTCTGCAGATCCCAACACAGATGCGGGAGTTGCAGATCTTCAACGGAGACTTAGTTTGAGTAAGTCATCGTCAACTACTGCGCTGCAACACACTTTGAATTTTCTACCGGAGCTCAAACATCAACCATTGCGTCCACGACAAGGTCCTGGGAAACGACAAAGTATTGAGGGAAAGAATGTGCCCGGGAAGGGAGATGGAAATGGACACGGGCACGGGGGAAAGCTCAGACGAGAATCGGCATCTGCCTCTGCTTACGCGCAATACAACAATTCCAAAAACTCACTCATGTCATCGTCTGCTTTTAACGGAGGCGAATCATCTAATTCTAACAGCAATTCCAGCTCTTCCGAAAAAGACAACAGTAATGACAGCAGCCAATATCTTCGATCAGCCCGTCTCGCGATCCCACCCAGAAAAGGCCCTCGCATGTCCAACCAACTCGCAGCCTCTTCAGCACAGAGTCTTCACAGTAATGGACAAGGTGGAATTGAACCAATGGCGAAAATGTTTGTTATTTGCTGTGGATGCAACTATTTCCATGATATGCCGAGTAAGCTCTACGAGTGCATGGCAAAACCGGAGGCGGTGGTCAAGGATGAGGGATTGGGGGTTAGTGGGGTGGTTAGCACGAGGGTTAGTTGTCCTTGGTGTGGACACGGTATGAGTACGAAGTGTTGTGAGGGGTGGGCGGCGGTGGTTGTGCTGAAGGAGAGGATGCATTAGGGGTTTATGGGAGGATAAATGGGCGAAATGAGGGAATGGAAGGAGGGGAGTTAATGATTCATGTTTTATGGGAGTGAAAATTTAGCGTAGCGTTGGATGGTAGACCATGGTATGGGGATGAACAAAAAACTTGGATCTGTTTCAAAGTTGGGAATGGGAGATTTAGCTCGGTTGGGCTTGGACATGGTAGTAGGAAAATATTAGACGCATGGTATGGTATGAATGATATGACAGCATTGCATGGATAGATGGATATTGAGGAAGAGTGAAAGGAAATTCACATGGATAGGATCGAATGGATGATTTTTTTTTTGTGGAATGAAAGGTTAAAATGGGATACAAGATTTACGATAATGATACGCATATACGCGGGGATATAATTGGGCGATGGTTTTTGGTTTGTATGCAGTTTTTGTATATGGAGGTGGATGGAGGTGGATGGAGAGGAGAGGAGAGGAGAGGAGAGGAGAGGAGAGGAGAGGAGAGGAGAGGAGAGGAGAGGAGAGGAGAGGAGAGGAGAGGAGAGGAGAGGAGGTTTCGAAGAGGAGCTGAAAGAGTGGGCGGGGCTGTTGGGGTGGGTGATTGTGGTTGTGGTTGGACTTGAGATTGGGGATACTTGTGAGATGGGAGGAAATCTGGTATCTATCTAGGTAGGTGGAAGTAGAATGAATGAATGGATGGATGGATGAATGAACATTCAATGAATGAATAAAGAATGAATCAATGACAATTTTATGAATAGATTGGTGAAGGGATAAATGAATACTTTGTGATATGTGATGTGTGATGTGAGTGAAAAGTTAGTATGGATATCTATTTACCTATTTACCTATCTATGTATTCGAGAGATTTGAGAAATTTAGCTAGAGTCATTCATTGTATGTGGGAATTAGATGTAATGATGTGTAGGTAGGTAGGTAAGGTAGGAGGAGTATAAATGTTGATTTGAGGAACTGAGGAACTGAGGAACTGAGGAACTGAGGAACTGAGGTAGGGAATGTGTGGGTGGATGAATAGGTAGGTATATAGGTAGATAAATACATAGGTAGGTAGGATAGGCTGTTCGCTAATGGTAAGATCTTATATCGTGGGATTTCGATTATCTTTTCCCATCTTTTCAATTACATTTCAACAACAACAAATTATTACATACCTCCTTCCAACCAAGCAATATCGAAAATGGTGGAAAAATAATAACGATCAAATAATTCCGCATAAACTTCCATAGTAATGGTTTTTTCTTCAAGAGAGTTTTAATATGCTGTGTTGGAATGATATAGGCTTTTTCCAGAGAACGACTTCTGAGGACTACGTGCTGAGATTTCTTTCATGAACAGCAGAGCGTACACTCTAGTGACTCTACCTCCTAGAAACCTTACAAAATGTTGCCTGTCCGTTTCTTGTCCTCAGTGAGTAAGTTTCCCCGGTAAGATCGACTGATTCTGTGTGCTTGATTGGAGTCCTCCCCACTTTAGCCGTTCAATATCGATGTAGGTTTGGTTACATTGAAAGTAAGCAAAAACACGTCAGCACGCAAGATTTTTTTGAATCTATGTGTCTGATATTGGAACTTGGAATGAATGTCAGGCGATGTTCTGTTGTTTCAATTCAGAGTTCAAAAAGATTGATCGAAGTCGGTGCTGAATCAGCTGGTTCTAATAGTCGGACAAATTTATTGATCAATCACTCAGGATGCCCCTATGGTTTCAACGGCTCAAGGACAAAAAAAAATCGAGGAGGAGCGATTCGCGTGATACCTTGTCATCAGCTGCGTCGTCGTTGACTAAGTTATCAGTTCAGTCATCTACTGGGAACGAAAATTCACGAAACTCATCAATTACATCATCGTCAACTGCACTGCCTGTAACATTACAGATCGAAGCAGAGCGTGTGCAGAAGGATGGATCTCCAAGGCGCTTCTGGCATGATGCAGTTCAAATGCTGCAAGAAAATCCGAGCCATCGGGAACTTCTGGATACGTACCAAAAAATCTTACAAGCAGAATCAGAAGCGACACCGTCTAGCGCTAGTGCAGCACCAGACTACTTGTTGAAAACAATCGACCGTAGTCTTAAGCTTCTCGATGAAAAGCGTTCAAAAATCCGGGTGGGCAGTGCTACCGTGGAAGTGAGGGGTGCTCTCAACAAAGTCGCCAAAGCTGCACAGTATGCCCAGTCTTTTGTTGGCTCGTTGGTATCGGGAGAGCCTCATGCGGCCATGGCCTGGGCCGGTCTGAGCTTGTTTTTGCCCGTAGGTTGCTACATATATCTAAATTGATTTTCGGTCTTGATTAATGTGTCATAGCTCTTGATAAATGCAGCTGAGCAACCAAAAGCTCTGACTAAGGGCGTTGAGTACGTTTCCGAATTACTTTGTCGATTCTCCGTCACCGAGCGGTTGTATCAAGAGCAAATCAGAGACGCCCTGGCTACTGTTCTCACAGATACTGAGGAGCTTCGGTCAAGCTTTGAGAAAAGTCTTACGGAACTTTACGCGCAGGTGCTGCTGTATCAATGTCGCGCAATAAGCCAGCTGAATTCCTCGAAAGTGATTGGTATTGCGAAAGATATGTTCAAATCGGAGAATTGGGATGATTTATCCAGCGAGCTCAAAGAGTATGAGGCGAAGTGCAATAGATATAAATATGTCTTGGATGCGGAGAAGACGGAGAGAGAGTTTCGTAACTTTGAGAAATATATGAAAGGTCTAAATGAGATTGAAATTTCATTGCAACACCAAACAAAGGAGACTCTCGAAAATTTCAAACATGATCAGGATTTACAGGCCAACCAACGTCAAGTAGACCTAGAGAATGCCTGCATTCAGAAATTTTATGTGTCGGCTTATGAGAAACAGATGAACCGAAACCCGGATGCTGTCAAGGATACTTGTCGTTGGCTACTTGACAATTCAAATTTCCAACATTGGAGAGATTCTGAATTGTCTTCTTTACTTTGGGTTTCTGCTGGCCCCGGTTGCGGAAAATCAGTGGTGTCGAAGATGCTAATCAAAGCGCTATCAAAGACTTCCTTGCCGGGAAGAACTCGAACCATCTGCTATTTCTTCTTCAAGGAAGATGATACTTTGCAAAGGACGGCAGAAAACGCTTTATGTGCTATACTGCATCAAATTCTGAGGACACCAGGAAATTCAAAGCTCGTACGACATGCGATTCCACACTGCGACAAGAGCGGGGCAAATATTCGTGAATCGTTTGCTCAAATGTGGGAGATTCTGATGGATATTGTGCAAGACGAAGCAGCCGGCGAAATCATCTGTATCCTTGACGCACTCGATGAATGCGAAGAAAAAGAGGGCAGCGGCCGCTACATGCTCATTGAGAAATTTCAAAAGTTCCATAATGACTACATAGAGACAACGAATTCTAGGAACACATGTTTTAAGATTCTTGTCACTAGCAGGCCTTATTTCGATATTGAAAGAAAATTCAAGAGCTTGACAAAGAGATATTCTGAAATTACCTTATCGGGGGATGAGGAATCGGCGAAGATCAGCAAGGAAATTGATCTTGTAATCGAGGAGAAGATAAACATGCTGAGATTTCAGTTGGAGTTGGACAATGAAACAACCTCTGCTTTAAAAGAAAAGCTATTGAGCATGGAACACCGGACGTATCTTTGGCTGAGGTTAATTTTTGAAGTTCTTGAGCAGCAACTCAAGACGACTAAGAATTATTTACTTGAAGTTATTGAAAAACTTCCGGGGACTGTCGATGATGCATATGAAGCTATTTTAAACCGAATTCCGAAGAATGAGTTCGAAAGAGCGAAGAGGCTTTTGAGCCTTGTTGTTGTGGCAGAAAGACCACTGCTTGTACAGGAAATGAATGTTGCTCTTGCCATCGATGAGAACCTAACTCAAGATTCCCAGGCTTCAGCACTCAGTCTTGATCTAGAACCAGAGGCAGTTTTTCGAGCGGCTTTGGGCAATATTTGTGGACTTTTTGTCACTGTTGCCGACTCCAGAGTATATTTGATTCACCAGACAGCTCGTTCATTTTTGTTGTCTGATGGAAAGACACAAACAAACACAATCGAGGGTCCTACTTTTAGATGGAAGAATTCTGTATATCCATCTGAGGCTCACCTGCTATTGAGCAATATCTGTATCAATTATTTTCTTTTCTATGGTCTTGAACGAGACATATCTGTCATTCAAGAAAATTGGCGGGAAATCGTTAATGAAGATTATTGGGCAAAGACGATGCCGGAACGCGCATATCTCATTCCGGAATATTCATTGATCGCCTACGCCTCCGGAAACTGGTGGAAGCATCTACTACACACGAACTTGGAACAGGGTTCGCCTATACAAGAGAATGCTTGGATGCTGTGCAACACCAATTATGATTATTTCCTAATTTGGATAATGGGGGTTTTCTCTGACGATTTCGCAGAAGATCTAAATCTCCTTGACTCATTAGAAATCGCCGCAGTCTTAGGTCTTGATTTTGTAGCCCGGCGTGCTTTTCAAAGTCCAACCCTTTCTTACAGATATTCAGAAGCATTATACCACGCCGTCATAATGACACATGGGGATATTGTCCAGACTATTCTAGAGGCAGTCAAAATAAATGACCTTGATCGTTTTCTGATTGCGGCCATTAGAGTGGAGAGACGCGCTGATGTAGACACGTTTGGAACAATAAGACTCTTGGTCAAGCATGGAGCTGGAAACCAAGATCTTCGACCAGCTCTCACTACTGCTGCACAGGAAGGTCTATATCATGTTGTTCGTTTCTTTGTCGATGATTGTGGGATAGATATCAATAGTCCTCTCAATTATGGATTGTCAATCCTATGCTTACTCCATCCATCTTCTGAATTTGAGGAGCAAATTCTATCTTATCTGTTTGAGCGAGGCGTGGACCCCAACGGCGTACCAGGAAATGCAATAACCCCATTAGAGGCAGCGACTAATACATGCAGCTTGAAAATGATCAGATTTTTGCTGGAGCACGGGGCTGATGTCAATCTGTCAGGGTCATCCGGTTGGGGTTCTCCACTCTGTCAAATCCTTCAAAATTCATTCTATAATTCAAAAGTAAAGGAAATGGATGACTCTACCTATTTACTGCAACTTTTGGATTCAAGTCGGGAGAGAGACTGTGTGATACAAATGCTTTTAACAGCTGGTGCGGAAACTGGTGGATGGCCAGAAAATTTGTCGGAGGCATTGTTACAGTACAACAACCGCCAGAAACGGCGCGAAAAGCTTGGAATATGTATTGATACTGGCCTTGATCTAAAGAAGGTAGCCGAGTCCAGAGTTCAATTAAGTTTGAAAAAAGAAGCATGTTCTGGCTCTGTCGCCACTGTGTAGTATACTTAATTCGCTACTAGGTATACTACATATGGTAGTATAGATAGATCATGGATGACGGCCGGGTGTTAAACAACAGAGACATGTGCGTGGAAGCTACTTCCATCTAGTTAGGACAGGAAACCTTAGGATGCTATTGGAACTTGGACTTGCTTTTGTTTGATTTGACTCTGGATGCTGTCATGTAATTATCAAATGGACTGTTGGAGTATAGCTTCTACCCGGAAAACAGGGATGGTCTTGCTTCATTTGTGCTATCAAGGTGTGGTTTCTCTTTAGAGGCTGTCTTAAGCGAAGCGTACCAAGGGGCTTTTGGGAGGAACGGAAAAGAGATCTTATAATATTCACGGGTAATTTGATAATTTGAAATTTGAAAATTATGTTGAAATCAAATTAAAGGTTAGTTGACCAACTACATCTATCATCACATTTCATCGTAGCATTTTGTGCTCCCCAGTCGTATCACCTGACTCCTTCACTCCCACATGTGTCTGAAAGAAAAACGACTACTGGTATAGATCCGGATGAGCAGCCTTGATAAAATCAGCACCCCTCTCAGCAACCATGTAAACAGCATTCTGAATTCGGCAATCTGGAATGACAGGGAAGACGGATGCATCAGTGATACGAAGATTCTTGACACCGAACACCCTAAGTTCGTGATCAACGACACCTTGCTCGATGGATTTCCCGAGGCGGGCGGTTCCGCAGGGATCTGGAGGGTGGAGTGTTAGTTTGATGAAAAGATTTAGTCCGAGGTGCAACTTACGGAATCCAGTCTGACTTCTCTCTAAAATCATCTTATTCATAGCCTCATCGCTATTTCTGGGCATGGGCCATGGATAATCTTCCCCTATGATATCTTTCATTCCGTCGCCGTTCATTAGGATATCATCCACATATCGACATCCTTCACGCAGAGCGATGAGGTCCAAATCGTTGGAGAAGAAGTTGAGGTTGATGATTGGCTGCTCAAGTGGATTGGTGGAATTGAGTTTTACATAACCATTGCGCGAGAGAGGACGGAGTAGATCAACGATAACGGTAAGCCAGGATCCCGTAGGTGGTGTAGGAATGTGCCATTGGAAGGCATCGCTAAACATGGGCACGAAATCAATCTCAAAATGTGGTTGGCCGCTTGGTCCAAAGGGGTCGATGTCATTGTTGGCTTTTTTGGCGGCGACATAATCTTTGCTTGTAGCTAGATATTCGTCGATACGAGGCAGACCGACGAGTTCGAGAAGACCACTACTGTATGGACCACTCTTGTTCTTTCGGTAGGCGCTGATAGCACCATCGTGTTGGGGACCAGCTCGTAGGAGATGATCATCGAGCCCTAGGCCGTCTTTGAGCCTGAAAACGTGCGGCATGATGGGGTGGTCGAGAAGATTCTTTCCAACGTGTTGCGATTCGACCTTGACGTCGATTCCATGAGGAGCAAGACCTTCGACTGGACCGATTCCAGATAACATGAGGAGTTTGGGAGTTTCATATACGCCAGATGAGACGATGATTTCCTTCTTGGCTCGAATGGTCAGTTCGTTGCCTTCAGCTGTAATTACTACGACTCCGGTTGCGGCTCCATCTTCAATGAGAATTTGTTTGGCGTGGGTGTGGCCGAGAATAGTGATGTTTGGTTTTCCTTCGAGGAAGAGGGCAGATGTAGAGCGTACACCTTTGTAAATAGTATTCATGGAACGAGCCAATCCGTGCATTTCTCCATCGTAGATCTCGTCATTAAGGATTCCTCCCTTGCTGACCCACGCGCTAGACAATGCTTTACGGAATGGCTCGAGTTCAGGCACCATGTCAGAAATGGCAACATCAAGTGGACCATTACGACCGTGTTTCGCCAAATCTGGATTATACAGATGACTATCATCGTGGTAATTGGCTGGCTTGTCAAAATGCTCCTTGCAGTTATCCCAAGTCCAGCTTTGACCACCATATTTCTCCCAATCGTCAAAAGTAGCTTTGCTACCTCGAATCCAGGTGTAGTAGTTAAGAGCACTACTGCCTCCTAGGACCTTCCCACGAGTGTTGGGCTTTTCTACTCGGGTATAATCTTCGCGGTCGATCATGGTAGTTTTATAAGCCCAGTCATATTGGCTTCCACGGAGCTCGAAAGCTCGTGCTGGAGTCTGGATTTCGGGGATGTCTTTGTTGTGTTCGGGTCCGGCTTCGATGATCAGGACTTTCACGTTGGGGTTCTCAGCAAGACGGCCGGCAACTGTGTTGCCTCCAGTTCCACTGTTTGATATGTCAATGTTTGTCTTGTGGCTATATCATGGAAACATGCTTACCCTCCAACAACAATGAAGTCGAAGTGATTATCAGTTAGCACGACCATTTTGAGTATTCAAAATCGAAATTAGCTATATGATATTGGGATGGAGGACTGAAAGTTAGAGCTATGTGATTAAGAGGTGCGATTAAATTGTTGAAGGTGGATGATGAAGTGACCAGTTGAGGATGGAAAATACTCTCGCTTTATATCTCTATAATAGATGAAGCCTTCACCATGTGAAGTCTGTGACGTCTTCCAGTTTTTTGACCTCGCGGGCGTCTCAATCGATCAGACCCGATGCTTGCCCGCTGCAATCCGAATCAAAATATGGGGGAGCAAACATCCCTAGCCTCGCTTTCCCTGTATGGTAGTATGAAAGGATTTTTATCAATGTAGGCTGATTATCAAGCTCCGATTTCCACGGCTCTCATGACCTCAGTGAACTCTTAGGTCGTAGAGCCCTGGAAAAATATGCATGCTAACCCCCTCATTGCAACATCGGGACATTGAAACTTTACGAGAAGTGATGACAGCATGGCTAGCGACAGCGAGAGGGGTGGCAAAGAAGGCAAGTATCGGAGTATGCTCGTTGTTGTTTGCAAAACGATCTTTCTTTAACCCCCATGAGCCCTCCCACCTCGGAAGTTGAATGGAAACATGCATGGATTCAGACGTGATGTAGTGAAAATGCTACGGTGAGACCGTAGAAGTAGTAAATTCAAAGGGCTTGTATGCCTTAACCTTGCCCATTACATGCGCATCTTCACCCGAAGAATCTTCTCTGTCGCCGAAAACCCGAATGCCATCATCTTTCTGAAAATATTGATATCAAGAAATTTGACGATGGATTCAATGCACAAGATCCAGAACTTCGGCCCCGCTTGGTATGGACGAACAGACCGTACTTGCATGCAAGCCGCGGGAATTCAACGCAAAGACTGTTGAAAGGCAGAGGAAGAGCTGGCTACAAGCTGAGTGGAACCTCAGCCAGCCCAGACTTTTTTTATGTTAAGTCAGCAAAATCATGTTAGTAATATGCAACTGGCAGGGCTAGTGGAAGGAAAACAGCCAATCACAACCGTTCGAGCCCCCACCATCCGTATTCAAATTATACCTCTATCAGATATCACTCCGATGTGCAAGAGAAGCTCTTCTCCTTTAATTCATGAAGCAATGAGCTTATTTCGGTAATCGTTCACAAATAATTTAAATATTCGATCGAGATTTAGTTACAGTCAGTTGGGATTCATTTGAGATTCAGTTCGGGGAAAAGTCGGAAAACACAATGTAAGAGGAATTCCGAATTTGACGATTCGGCAACTTTCCGATATTGTGTATTTTGGGGAATCCACTTTTTTCAACATGTTCTAACTCTATCTTGATGAAGCCTCTTTCTCGAGTATCCTAGAAATGGAAAGCGAGTTGTCCGTCAATTAATCGATGTGTATCTGATTATTAATTTTATCTATTCGTCTTGCTGCATCATCTAAGCTTCTTGTACAACATGCCTAATTTGAAGCTTACAGCATGCCGTACAAAGGAGAAGCCGTTCATTTTCCGAGTTATCCTCAGTTGCTGGTCGAGTAGAGAAGATACCGGTATCCGATATACATATTTTTGAATGACGCATTCCAGAAGAAGACAAGGGCCACTCAGTACCTTGACTTTCCATGGATACACCGTTGACGCTTTCCGAAGCTCGCATTTGTAGATCTGTAGCATGCATTCAGACAGGTATGGAATGGATATAAAGTATTTCTAGCTCCTCTATCTATGTATGAAGTCGAAGCATCAAACTTTTACTTAGATCTCTCTACAACAAACACATGTTTCCTCAGACGTAATTTATCTATCATTGCAATACAAGAATTGATTCCACATAATGGCATCTAAGGTTTGAAGTCTAATGATTCATCTTGGACATGACTGATTCTCTGTGCAGCTCAGTTCCCCCGAAAAACCTGTTTACACTTTAGCCGAAGGTACTTTGTCCACATATATGTACTGAACGACATAATGCTGAAATATCTTAGGGGTACCAGTCGCGGATCCGACGACTTCATTGCGATTGAACACTTTCGGTCTAGGAGGCCTTGTGTTATTGCAAGATACACAATTAATTGAAACGCTTGCACATTTTTCACGAGAAAGAATTCCAGAGAGGTATGTATCAAGAAACGATTCAAAGAAATCCACTGATGAATATCAGAGTAGTTCATGCTCAAGCTGCTGGTGCTTTTGGAGAGTTTGAAGTCACTCACGACATTTCGGATTTGACTTCAGCGGCCTTCTTGAATGGAATTGGAAAGAAGACTCCTTGCATGGTGCGCATATCCACAGTAGGAGGAGAGAGAGGGTATTCAGATGTTGTGCGAGATGTGAGAGGCTACGCCATGAAATTCTATACCGAGGAGGGAAACCAAGACTTCGTCTTTAATAATACCCCTGTATTTTTCATTCGCGATCCCCTCAAATTTCCTTCGCTAAACCGATCACATAAACGTCATCCACGAACAAACGCCCCAGATGCTGACATGTTCTGGGATTTCCACAACAACAATCCGGAAGGAATACATCAAATCATGTATCTATTCTCGGATAGAGGAACTCCTGCTTCATTGAGACACCTAAACGCATACAGTGGACATACTTATAAATTTACTAAGCAAGATGGCACGTTCAAATACGTACGATTCCACTTCCATTCGGATCAAGGAGTGAAGAATAATACAGCAGCCGTGGCAGAGAAGCTCTCAGGAACAAATCCAGATCACCATAAACTGGATCTTTTTAATGCTATCGAACGTGAAGAGTTTCCTAGCTGGACAGCAAGTATTCAAGTTATGGATCCAGAAGATGCGGAATCGTTTCGTTGGAACGTGTTTGATATGACCAAGGTATGGCCACATAGCGAAGTGCCATTGCGGCCCTTTGGTAAAATGACGCTGAATAGAAATGTGAGATATAATTATTCCTTTTTACTCTGAATTTCTTGCTAATCTACATGTAGCCAAACAATTTCTTTGTAGACATCGAACAAGCAGCTTTCTCGCCTTCAAATATGGTTCCAGGTATTGCTCCATCCGCAGATCCAGGTAAGTTTCTACTCCTATCTTTACACTTATAAAAATCACTAACCACTCCCTTCGAAAGTCCTCCAAGCCCGCCTTTTCTCATATCCAGATGCCGCTCGCTACCGGCTCGGCACAAATTATCAGCAACTCCAATCCAACGCTCCTCATTGCCCCGTCTACACACCATATCAACGCGATGGTCTCTCTTCAATCAACGGTAACTATGGACCCGACCCAAACTATGTCCGATCAAGCTTCGTTCCACTTGCTCCTGCGAATCGCAATGCTCAGGCTGTGCATAACATTCAACACGAACTTTGGAGCGGAAAAGTGACGGCGTTTACGAGTCGAGTTGTAGATGATGATTTTGTACAGCCACGGAATTTTTGGAGAGAGGTTCTGGGAAAACAGGAAAGTCAGCAGGAAAATTTGGTGGGCAATGTTGCGGGAGAGCTAGCGAATGTCAAGCATGAGAGAGTTAGAAGGGAGGCTATTGGTAAGTTTTGTGTCTTTTTGTGTCTTTTTGTGTGTAGGCTGTTGAGTAATGTGAAGCTGATGTTGTTTTATAGAGATCTTTAGGAAGGTCGATGATGACTTGGCAACCAGGATAGAGAAGAAAATTGCAGAGTTGTCAAATCTTTGAGCAATGAGCAGGTGACAGAAGGGTTGCAGGGCGCATTTGGCAGAAATGATTGTTATTTTATCGCAATAAGAATTTATTCCGAGAATCCAGAGCTCTAATAAGATTTGTTATAAAATTTTCAACTGTATAAGAGCCTCGCAATACTTTCTGTGTGGCTGGTTGGTTTGTGTTATGGAAATTTCTTCAGTAAACAAGCTCGAAGTTTTCGTGAGATTTGACAGTTCGTGCCTCTTTTAGCTTCGAGAGGCCAGGAAAGTATTGGGACAAGATATTTAGCATGGATAAATGTGAGATAGTAGCTTAAATATTATTTTTCTGAGGTGGTAAGAGCGCTTCTCTCTACTCCTATTCCGCATCGGGATATGTTAAGCATCAACCTTCCCTGATTTCTGGTCTTAAAATGTCCACTTCCTGAGACTCCTCTTACTGATATCAAAAGGGAAATTCAAGAATTTGTCTTTGCCTTTGCTTACTATAACATTATACCACTAACTTTACTCTTTATTATTCAAGTATAAGCTACAAATGGACACATCAGAGTGGAGTTCGAACCTTGCGGTGAGGAACAAGGAGCCTATAGTCACCGTTAGAGAGATCCTGCAAGATTCCGAGTGAGTGCAACGATCTTCTGGAACACCTTTTGTTGTCTAAAATTCTGAAATAAAAGCACTAATCGTCTCAACTGCACAGTGTCGACGACCAAACCTTAGAGCCATGGTCCTCTCACAGTCCTCGTAAACGAAATCATCACGAAGTGGAGAGAAACTCGATTATTACTCCATCGATCCGGTAATTCTCCAAACCAGATAGGGGCGTTGAAGTTCGTTTTGACATCGTTGACACTTTCAACCAGAAAACCAAGCAACGAGAAGGAACAAGTATCGCCAGCAAAGCGCCAACGCAATGATAGAGGCATGGAATCAATTCACCTACGAACAGAGCACAATGGCAAGAGTCGAGGAACTGTTTTCATGGAAAGGCAGGTGAATTTGGAAAGTGGTAGCGCATTTAAGACTGATTGCCGTGCAGAGAGATTGCTGTATCGAAGAAGGGTAACAAAAGAATTCCTGAAACGCCCAATACTAGGAAACAACTTGAGGGCTTAACAGTGACGCTGTCGTAAGTTTCGATCATTTTTTGTAGCTTAAACGATACTTTTATTAATACTAACATGGATACAGGGGATCAGCACCGCCATCTGCTGGTAGTGGACCAGAACCCTCTGGTACCAATGAGACCACGTCCATCGATGCAAAGATGTGAGCTAGATACTCACTAAGGGTTTTGATCAAGACTTTAAGCTCTAACTAGCCCTAAAACTTAGTGTCCCCATCACACTTAGTCCCGCACTAGCACATCTTAGCTCTGCACACCACGAAAAACCCAGATCAAGTTCTATCTCTAGTAGCTCCGCATCTCTTCATGATAAATACCACAACCCCAAGAGAAACTACGAAAATAATCCACACAACACTTCCGAAGCTCAAACCCCTAAGAAACGCAGCGACAAGTACGAAACCAAGCTTGACAACACTGAATCCAACCAGAATTGTGAACACATCAGCAACACCTTTGAATCTCTCTTTCCCACAGTCAAAGATTGGATCGAGCAACAAAGGTCTCAATTCGATACTGTTACTGAAAGAATCGATAAACTTTTCAGCCTGATACAACAAGGCCAACGACTACTTCAGAACGCCATGACTACCGAAAATGCTTCTAAATGGAAGCTTGTGACCGACAGATTCATTAATATACTCGCAGAAGATCTTAGGATTGATGATCCTACCTTTGCAGTACTCAATTTTGTACAAGAGAGAGATTCCGTCGCCCAACTTACAAACGTGTACTTTTCAACCGACCCTCCCCAGACTTTGGAAGAACTCCAGCGGTTCGCCAGATCAAGCATGGGTGTAAGCTTGAGTGGGAAAGAAGAAAGGTTTATCAGAGACATTAAATATCTCAGCGCTACACAAACAAGGCTCGAGGAGGAATGGAACATGCTCAACTTAAAAGAAGACAAGAACAATTTCAAATTCATGCTTGAGATGAATTCCTCTGAGCGAGCACAAGTTCTACAAGGGGCTTGGGATTTGAAGGAGGAAATTGCGGACTTCTACATGTGTGCTGACACAAGAAGATGAAGTAAATTGTGACATGCGACAGAAAGATGTAAAACTGGAGTTATTGGGCTGCTTTTTGCGAATACATTTATACCTATGAGCTTAAGCTCATAGGTGTTGGAGTAGCAAGGTTGGGGCTTCTATTGCTGGAGCAATATTATCTTCGACTCTGCAGAGCATGCACCTTTCTCTTGATCTCTTTCTGTTTTTTATCCAATGAGGGAAGGGTGTACAGTGGCCAGCTAGAAAAGATTAGTTGTCACATATCATGAATAAAAGATCAACAATTATCAAAAATCATGCGCTGATAGGAAATTTTATAATGTGCACATTTACTTGGTATTTTGTTTTCATACAGTGGTAAGCACACTAGCATTCTTATACCACGTCAAGAGAGGATTCTCCCCGTTCTTGGTCTCCGTCTGTTCCACATAAGCCCATCGGTTCAAAAATTCTTCATGTGATAACACTTGTGTGAACTTTCCCGTGATGGCTCTGTATACATTATCCATGACAGCGAAGTCGGTAGGGAACAATATGTCAAAGTATCCTTGATGCACCTAAGTGCCATTAGCAACGATGAAAGGGACAAGGAATATTGATGCTCACAAAAGGCGTCGTAACAGGAACTGTTCTTCTTTTATATCTTGTCTGGACAACTGGTGCATTGACCCCCTTGATCGTGTCCGGCAGCGAATGAAAATCACTTGTTACTAATCTATGCGCCGGGAAATACTTGGCCAGAATATCGAAGAACTGCATTAGTCTCGTGGGTATATATTCTGGCTGACTGAGATTCGGAGCGAATGGCATATTATTTCTCAAAGTCTTCACTAGTCTGTTCTGCGGAAGGGGGTGTGGGTATTTTCCATTAGTAGCAGCGTGTCGTACGCGAAGGAATCTAGATGCTATGGGATCGATGGTGGGAGTGTAGAATTCGTAAAAGTCGCCGGTGTTGGATATCAAGACGGTGCCTTGGAGAGGTTCTTCGGTAACAGGGTCGTATCGAATAGAGTCGTGGGCAAAATTGTCAAAAACTTCCATGGCGAGGAAGAAACATGGTGAGGGAACTATCTGGTTCCATTCGAAAACTGATTTGTTGATAATCTCGACTTTAGATGAGTGTCCTCGAGAATTGGCATTCCGTAACAGGTGCGACTTTTGTAGCGATGCGAGATTGCTGGATATCTCAATTATCTTAAACTTTGTGCGGGCATAGACCTCAGGTTCTGTGGCACGAATATAGTCGAGTATATTGAGCATAAGAGTACCATTTCCAGCGCCCATTTCGTAGATTATGAGGTCGTGGTATGGGTACTGCGATATTTTGTAATTGTTGATCAAATACCGGGCTATAGCTTCACCATAGTAGGGTCTGAAGAGCTCCGTTGGTGTATGCCATAATTGGCGAGTCTCATTAGGAGACTTGAGATCCAACTCGTCCTCAAACTCGGTGTATCGTTGTCCCAGGAGACGATGAAAGGCTGGTTCATCTTCGAGGGAGTTGAAGTCGAAAGGCTCGCCAGGAGTAAAGATAACGACTTGCTTGGAGAAATAACCATAAGAAGGATTGTATAAACTATCTGCGGAAGGTGTCAGATAATCACACGGCATGTTAACGACTGGATTGTGAATACCTTCAATGAAATCTCGTGTGAGCATCTTCACACGCCTTGGCCTTTCTCTCCTCCCCCTCAACTGATCCGCTGTAACCATGGGATACTTATTGAATTCCTCCATCATATCTATCGGAAAGATATCCGTTCTCTGCTGCCAATGGCTTTCATTCTTGCTTGTCTCCTTCACTCCTCTGCCCCTCCTACTGGTGGTCGACAAACATCTCAACTGCGAACCATGCCCATTCCATGCTCGAGGAGACAACGAAGAATGAGAACGTAAAACCTCACAGTTCTTGTGTCGGAATAGCTGCCGAAACAGCTGTGCCACAATTGGGGAATCCATCGACAGAAGTGTTTAAATTCTTCTGTGTGTTTCTTGGGGGACCTCTGTCGCAGTGTTGAGTTCTGGTTGGTCCAAGCTTCTTTCGCAAAGTTTTGCAAGGATATTGAAAGAGTTGACCTGTGAAAAATCACATCAACAAAATGAATTTATTTACGACTCATGATTGAGATAATGATGTTGAGAATAGCAAGGATATAATGTCTCTGAGCAACCACCCCAAGGCATATGGTTCTGCAGCAGTTGCAGTTGCATTCGTCGCAGGAGTTCTGTTGACATTGGGTTTCAAAGACTTTTATCCTGATTTGGAACGAAGATATCAAAGACGGCGAAAGGGAACTGGAACTGGAACTGGAATTATTGCATCTGATTCATCTGCATCTGATCTAAGACCGGTTGGCTCTAACCTACCCCCACTAAGGCTAGAAGACCGTACTCGGAAATCAGTTGTCGGATTGCCGAAACCTATAATCCCAGAAGGAATAGAGGGATGTATTGGAAATACACCATTATTCAAGATCAAGAGTCTTTCCGATGCAACAGGATGCAATATTCTTGCAAAAGCGGAGTTCTTGAATGGCGGAGGAGGAAGTCCCAAAGATAGAGTAGCCTTGAATATGATTATGATGGCGGAAGAGGAAGGATTTCTGAAACCTGGCCGAGGTGACACTATTTATGAAGGCACAGTTGGATCAACTGGCATTTCACTTGCAACTTTAGCACGTGCCAGAGGTTATAAAGCATACATATGTATGCCCAATGACCAGAGCACAGAGAAGTCGGATCTTCTACATCATTTGGGAGCCACAGTTGAAAGAGTAACCCCAGCACCTATCACTTCTACTGAACATTTCGTCAACCTGGCAAGACGAAGAGCGAAGGAACATACGGCCTCCAAAACAGATTCTAGTAGAGGGTTCTTTGCTGATCAATTCGAGTCTCGTGCAAATTACCGGGCACATTTTCAATCTACAGGACCTGAGATTTATGCCCAGACGGGAGGTGATGTAAGCAATCAAACCTCTAGAATCTCACACACAATTTAGCTGACGACGTTTAGATTGATGCATTTGTGGCCGGTGCTGGGACAGGAGGAACCATCTCAGGTGTAGCACTATACTTAAAACAAGAGCAACTTATGGGACAAGATCTCAAAGTCGTACTTGCAGATCCAGAGGGAAGCGGCCTTTACAACAAAGTCAAGCATGGCGTCATGTTCTCTTCAACCGAGAAAGAAGGCACAAGACGTCGGCAGCAGGTTGATACTATCGTCGAAGGGATTGGAATCAATCGGTTAACCGAGAACTTCGAAGCGGGGCGAGAAATCATCGATGATGCCGTAAAGGTGACAGACTTGCAAGCACTCAAAATGGCGAGGTGGTTGGTCGAGAAGGATGGCATTTTTGTTGGAAGTAGCAGTGCTGTCAATTGTGTGGCAGCTGTAGCAACAGCGTTGAAATTGGAGAAGGGGAGTACGGTGGTTACTATACTTTGTGATAGCGGAACGAGGCATTTGAGTAAATTTTGGAAGAAGGTGGGAGAATTGGGCTTGGAGGAGGAACATGACAGCCAGGATTTGCTGGCTCACTTACGTCTTCTACCCACCGAGGAATGAATATGCTCATGAGCTCATCGAACTGTTACTCTTTGCAAAGAAATGTGTGGCAGCAGGGGTTCACGAGCTAAAAGTTCATTCGTACATATCCAACTTAGGTCACGCAATCAGCCTATTTCCAATTCTGTGATACAAATTTGGAACATATGATAGATCTTTATTACTCAACTTTGTTCCAAAGAAACCTACTAGGTCTTTGCTTCTCGCGTCTAGGCAATATAATGTTTCTTCGTTTGAAGAAGTAGAAACACGAAGTCGTTTCTTAGAACTCAGCGTTGACGACAAGATTCATGAAGAACAAACAGGAATTGCATAGAAGGATAGGCATTTCACCTACTCTTCCGACCCCGTCTTCGCCCCTCTCGCATCAAAGAATAAAGGATAGCTTTGGTGTGATAGAGAATATAGAACGTATGCCGTAGTTCCGTTGGATCCGAGCAACAAGCGCGAAAACAAACATAGAACACTGGGACACCAAACGTATCTTTGTAAGGTTATGTTTCTGGTATAACGAAAATCACTTTTGAGATATTTTCTGATTGATCCGGCTAACATGATATGCGGCAAAGCTCTCTATGTATGTAGTCATGCAGCCATAAAGTTATCATATACCTATATACCTGCAACCTTGTAAAGAAATTGATCGATCTTGGTAAAGGTGCATTGCGTTGGGGCTTTATACTTAAAGTTCTACTCGTCGCCTCGAGTGTTGCCGATGGTTCTAGCATGAAAATATGAACTTATTCAAGCAATTTCGTTTTATGAAGTCAATCTATTTACTTCCCTCTGTCTGCTCAGCCTGGAAGGGAGAAGTAAATGGAAAATACTAGGTACAAGAGATTTTCCAAAAATGGGGATATTTCCCACATTTTGTTGATAGGTCGACAACGATACTACCTACACAGTGCAGATATTTTGCACTCGTATTTCACTTTGCGCACCGAACCGAAGCTTGCTTGACTTGCACCTAATCTCTATATTCGCTTTCTTGCAGTTCATGGTACGTAAACTTTTTTACAAGAAGGCCTTGCATTAGGAAGGAATCACACGTTATCTAGGTGCTCGTTTTTCTGTGAGGTTGAAAAATTCAAGCCGGTAAATATCACAGTCGCGCAATTTGTTTGGGGAAGTTCCTCTATTCGATCCTGTTGGTCACAGAATGGAACGACGCAGGCACTCGATGACACTCAGAACCCTAAAATATGCACCGTGCCACATGAAGACTTGTAGACTGTAGTGGGCTGTCACCAACTTTCGCAGGCAATTCTCGCATGGAGTCATCTGGGACTTGCATCATCAGCCCCCACATTTTATTTTTTTAAAGCCTCCTGAATGGGGCGATCTTCGTTACGCGAGGTTACCTCACAACTGCCGCGAATAATGGATCGCCTCAAATTCTTGTCAATTAAGAAAAAACGCTTCATCTCCAACCAGAGATAAACTTGTATTGTGTAAAATGTTATCTTCAAATGTTGAAAATGTTTGTGCAGTACAGCTACCTGCTTTGTTAATCAATCATGACAGCTAAGCTAACCCAATCACCACAAACCTCCCCAGACTTCCCACCACTTGGAGAATTGTTCTCTCATACACCATCCCTTCAGCAGTCCTGACGTCAGATTCTAGCCATTAAATAACCTCGGGGTATATTCCCCTGCAAAGCCAATGAAAATGGCATCTCCGACGAGGTAGCATTGATTGCTGAACCAACAACAACAATCATGCGAATCCCTGATATTTAGCTTCCAAATCATGGTTCCCAACACAGAGGATGAGCCCAGACAGGTCGATAAGAAAAATATGTACTCAAATTCAAGGATGATCCTAATCAGCGCCAGTGCAGACAGCTAGCTGGAAAAGCAAACAACATGGTAAGAGAACAGGTCGGTTTGTCACCGGTGAGCTAAGCGAGCAGTACGGCGTCGCGAAGAGGGTGGGAGCGATTAAATTTGGAAGAAGCAAACTTCATGTGAGAACAGCGCAGTGCATATCCGCAAATCGCATCACAATAAGGTTTTGCTTGAAGAAATACATTTTCGATTTGCATGAATCTACTTCAATCGTTTGATGATGCTGCAACATATCCGAGGGAAGTTGTTTCTTTTTACTAAAACCACATTCCACAAAATGCTCTCATTTGAATGCATTATTCCGCACGTTACTTCAATCACAAGCTCTTTTCGTACACTTGCAGACAGTTCTGCACTTCATCTTATATCTCTTTTCTGATACTGTTGATATTTCTGTGAAAACTGCAGGCCCATTAGCTTTGAGAGTATCCAGTGGTAGGTATTATTGCGTCCAAGCATAACAGAGGCTGATAATTATTCTTGTACGCCCTTACTATCCCCCTCTCACACCGCTTCTATGATGCCTAAATTGCTGCCTTCTGGAATCCACGCTCTTGGCTTTCCAAAACGAGGATCGGCAGCTTGAAAAAAGGAAGCCCAATCATCGGTATCGCGCTCGTGAGAGTTGAAGAGAGAAAGCATAATCATATCCATACCCCTGCACGACCGTTAGATCTATCATGAAGAACTTGCAATTACAAACTGAACGGGTAAATAAACCGAGCTCGAAGCATACCTTGCGAGTTGTTCTCGAAGCAAGGGTCTTGTTCCAGGCTCTGGAAGTAGATGGTTGTAGCAAATGACTCGAGCAATTCATACCGTGCCGTTGTACACCCCGCGAACATGCGTAGAGTTCTATTGTTTTCCTCCTTTTACATGTTAGGGTTGTTTCCACTCGCGATATCTTCAAGATTAGTAGTCTCCGAACTTATACATATACATATCTTATTGCTGATTGCTCATCTGAGGACCAAAATCCTAATGCATCCAATCAAAACCCAACTCAACAATCTCGATACCGCAGAATTGTGTCTCGAATTATCCCATTAACCCAAGAAAGTCGACCCAGTTTGACTGATAGGTACTGCATCCGTTGATGAAGTCGTGTCAGGAGTTTCAACTTCAAAACTCTTGATGCATTCTTCACTGGCAGATGCAGACACCGTCTTACAAACAATAACAGTTGTGACTTTTCCACTGGATAACTGAACTCCCACACCAGACTCTCGAGATGATAACCTTCGCACCTGACAATGTCGCTATCCGTGCCCGACACTGGTCGCCTGTCCAGCTATTATAGCAACTGGAAGACTAGAGTCGCTGCTTCGCACAACAACTGACATCGCTTCTCCATTAAACACGTCACGTTTAGCGAATTGGTCTGAGCTGAAGTTATACTGTAGATACCTAGGTAGTAGAATATTAAATATACGGCCCTTGTAAGTCTCTAAAGATTTATTAAATGTATTGCAAAATGAACGCTTTAGAATGTCGAAATATAAAAAAAAGCTAAAGAGTGAGGCCTGAAGTATAAGTCGAAGCAGTGAAAAGAATATGTTCTGCAACCAACATGACACTAGGAAGGTTGGATTCGCGCCTATGAGGCTGTTCATCTTGACTTTAGTCCCGCGGTGGTACATAGATCAGTACATTCGCTACTCTAATGACGCAAAGCTTTATGGCAAATACACTTCCGACATTGTGTTTGTTCGAAAGATTTGTTGCTCACCTCACCCAGTAACACTATGGTGTGCACTGAAGATACCTGTGTGTTTTTGATACTGTACTAGCTATAATGAATTTGAGCAGCTGGGAATTGCATGATTGTGGGACATTAATAGATTCTATAATTGTATTCAAATAAGAGCTAGAGCTAAATTTTAAAACGGGCACATATTTGAAATGCTTCCATAACGCTGGTTTCAACTTCTTATCACCTCCGCCTGAATGCCTTTTATTGTAGAATGAAGTGTCTTTCGCGGAACTACAAATCTGTTCTTAGACTCTTGTGAAAGCCCTGCCAATGGTCGATATCAAGCTTTCGGTTAAAGCTGCACAGACGGGAGTACCTGATGGCTCACAGATTTTTGTGATCATCGACAGCTTGACGGCAGTTCGAATATGCTTGGAGCAGGAATGGATGTAAAGTAAATTCATTGAGATTTTTAATTAAACGGTGCATCATGGCGCTCCTCTAAATTGGTCAATAAATTGATTCGCCAGAGTTCTCCTTCTTCCAACTTCTCCACCCGACTGACCATCCGATCCTGTAGCAGCCACTGTATTTTCTCCCTCCAATCTCCTCCTCATTCCTTCAAACCCTTCACTTCTCTTCTTGACCTGAACGCCCACCATCCAGCCTGGTAATCTCCATCGCGTGAAAGCTGTAGGTAGTACATCGTTTCGCCAGCAATAGCCAATAATCCAGCCGACCATTGCAGATATCAGTGAGCCTGGAAATTGGGAAAGACCCAGCTGAATAGCGGGGAGATATATGTATGATTTATCCGAGAATGTAACTCCTACGAAATTCTCCTCGGTCATAGGTGCAGAGGTAGCTGCAACTTTGTATTTGTATTGATGCGGAATAACGGCATGGTACTGGGCTAGGATAGCAAATATAAGAGCCGTTGGTCCTGCGGGTAGGTAATTTATCGCGTAGAGGGAAAGGGGTCGTAGAAGGATGAGCAAGATTGGCGATATTATCGAGGTGAAGCAGAACGATAATATCAGGAAAGACTATAAATTTACTTTCAGCAGATATTCATGGTAGATGAAAGAATGAAAAACTCACAGCAAATCTACGAGATCCCCATAATCTTTCCACCACTCTCATATTATAGTATGTTATCGCGCCAAAAAATACTTCTGTCGAATTGGTATAGCATAATTGGTAACTCAGCATCCGCCATAGTTGATGATATCGTAGCAGATGAGGATCTGCTTGTATATAGAAAAAATGCTTTGAATCTGTGATACTAGCGAGGAGTGAGGTTACGATAACCCCATAGACAAGGCTGCGCGTTACTGGCACATCTGTGAAACCGGTAGAGAGCATAGCGACGTTCAGATCGGAATTTTGAATCTCTAGTTAGTGTTCCACTTAAATTGCTGATTGTGTCGCAATTCGGTCGTTGAACATCGAATTCGAACAATGCACTGAAGTTTGAAGTGAAAGCAAATGCCAGATTGGCCTTTTCAGCCTTATGATGATGAAAGAATTAAAGTAGAGTGGCCTTAGTGGCAGTATCCACTTATATTTTACAAGGGTGACTCGTGGCATGTGTAATCACTAGTGACACCCCTTCGCTTCCTTTGACTGCCCCCAAATTGCCCACCTGTGATGTCCGTTTCCATTTTCGAAATTTCTTAAAGTTGGGCCGTAAAGTATCATTGGAAATGTATCCAGCCATTGATCTCTAGTCCAACACGTACTTTATTTTGTCCTCGGTACGTTCTGCCGATTACATACATCCTCACATCGAAACAAGTTCGAATCGGTCACATTAGGTAGACTTCTTGATGTTTGACATCAGAGAGCCTGACTATGTGTCTCCAGGTAGGAGACAGCCAACTCGTATCCCACAGTTCTCTAGATCCTCGCAAAAGCTCTATAGATTATATGATCTAGTGATGCAGCTATTGCTGTCCTAGATAACACGTGTATCATCAAACACCAGATGAATTGTTCCTTAACATCATTCTCACAAGCTCGCCGTTTATAAGCGTATCCATCTCGAGTAAATGCACACTATTCAGCACAAATAGAAGACAGTATTCTTCAACGCAAGAAATAGTTTTATTCTATATAAGTCTGCGCATTACATGTGATAAGGTCTGAATGAGCAGTCTCTAGACTCTTTTGTCACTTATCACGGTGATGTCGATGCCATGATCTCTTGTGACTCAACTAATTGCAGCGATACAACTCAAGTGATAGAATGATCTTCTGTTGCGTACCAGATATTGTTAACTCCCCGCCGAACAAAAGAGTAGATCGAAATGAAAACCTCTTCCCAATCCATCTTCGATTGTCACTCACTTGCCAAAATGCCCTTGGTTTCATCCTCAGTTATATCCTCGAAATGGTTTCCTGAATGGCAGAAGTACACTGAACCTCTTGTCCATCGGTCACCGAAATTCTCTTAGTTTTAGGGGCTGGCGCTTTCTTCTGGCGTTTTACATCTGCAAGTGGAGAGGATGTGGTCGAAAGTCCTCCCGGAAGCTTGGGATCCTCCTCACTGGCGACTTCAGAGTTTTCTGTGAGCTTCTGTCGTTTGTTTGACTCTATCTGTGAAGGAGACGATGTTGATGAAGTTGGTGGCAGTTTGGTTGCTGGTTTTGTAGCTTTTATGCAGCTAGATGCCTCGCGAGATGTATGTACGCAAATAATTCTTTTTGGCACAGAAGTTTTAACTTCAGAAGTGTTGCCGCCCAGATTCTGTAGTCGCGCAGCAAGGCAATTTTTGAATTTTGAATTCGGCGATGTAGATGAATCACTGGCTTCGACCTGAGTGTTTTTTGGTGTTTCTCCCGCCGCTGGTGATTTGTGCTTTAAATAATTGGTCACTCTCTTCCATTTGGGTTTTTCTCCTGGAAATTTATCCAGCTCATCGGCAACTGCGAAACTATTAGCATCTTCATCAATTGATCGGGCAAGAAATACTAACAAAGTGTCTCCCAGGTCCATCGCTCTGCCATCCAATATCTCTCCGCATCTGGAATATTTTTGAACATGCTTAGTTCGACCCGATCATGACTTTCAGTTAGAATATCAAGAACTTGTTGTTCAACGTAGCCGTAGCCAATTGCTTTGGAGAGCATCAAATCGTAAACGCTTTTGTAAACTTCCATTGTGATAGATCGACAATCGATTAATGAGTTTGTGATTTTGGGGTTTGAATTGTTCGATGTGAAAAGTTAAGAAGTTTTGTAGTGGGCAAAAGTACAATTCAGTCTCGGGTGATCAACTCACTTTTGAAAATAAGAGAGTTGGATTCAACTGTTCAGACTGGGTGCATGGAAGCTGGGAGGAGAGCTGTTCCGATCACAGATCTCGCCTCCACTCACCTTTCGCGTCCATCCGCAGAAAAACAGAAGCAACAAACAGAATGTTAACAATTTGTTGACTAGAGGAGTAGCTTTGATATGAAGCTCTAATTTTTCAGCTGCGAGTAACGATTCGTGCAACGATACAGTGAAGAAAGGCCTGCTATTTCTTTAATGGGATGCTGTAACTAGTCTAATACTACTTTTTGTGCAGCCGACACGATACTCCGAATCTACCTTATACATACTTGAACACTGGCTGAACCACACTATAGAGCATAGTAACATCTGAACTCACACAAAAACGTCGACTCTCTGACAGTATCCACCTAAAACAAAAAAAACTCAAGCCATCAGTTCTCCATATAACCCAAAGCCTGCGTATCTCCATCCGACCATTGTGAAATAACACACTTCATCCATTAAAACAAAAGCCCATTCACATCCTATCTACAAAATTCCCACTTCACCCACTGACCAACGAAATTCCTCATACGGGAACTTCCAAGAAGTCCACTCAAAAGCACTCCCATACTCACAAGGCCGAAATAATGCCATACACCCATCTCAATCTTCAAAAACTCCACCCTCGACATCCAGGAAGTATTTGTTGGTGCAGAGACAAAAGCTGGCACGTCGCTCTCCTCTTTCGATTTCGATCCAGAGGCATGATATAACCATGTCGGTTCTGGATACGATCCTCTTTCAACTATATTATCAATTGAGCTGTTAACTCACATCTCCATTACCTCGGATACTTACATAAATGTTCCCAAGTCCGGAGACTTATTGCCTCTGATTGTTCTTCCAATGAAGCTCCTTTAAGACGACTTATTTCTCGAAGGTAAACGAAGAGGAGTGTTTCTGAAATGTGAGTTTCGGAATAGTTGTATGGGAAGCGGGTGCCTTTGTCGCAAAGCACGTTAACGAAGATGTCTAGATCCATTGTGAAAGAATGTTTGGATATCAATTGATACAGTTGTTGATGAGTAAGTTTCTGGATTGGAATATTTTGAGGAGGTATTTATGCTCGATGTTGTTGTCATTATGAGAAGACAAACTTGCGAAAGGTACATGATAGCATGAGAAAATCTGGGCTGCACCTGTATGTTTAATTGAAGTTTGCCCCTTCCCGTTCGTGGAAAGTAATTCCGAATCTTTTGACCTTGAAGGTAGAACCACAGTAGAAAAATATCATGTTATATATATATTTCCCTCTCTAACGTAGCTCGTTTCGTTACAAGCACTGTTAAAATCAGATTCCCAATTACCCACCAAAAGATTTAGTGCTACAAGGTAAACTAGCAATCATTACTCCAAGTAAAGGGATAATACCAGTAAACCCAACCGAAGCGAGGTCGCAACACCAAGCAAGGCAATGCACACCCCTTTCAAACCTCACCTCACAGCAACCTCCTGGCCTCACCGAATCCGGACGAGTCCAGGAAATTACTTTAAAAATTGTATTTGTACCATGCATCAAAGAAAGCAAGTGGAAGCAAAAAAATAAATGAATATTAAAAACTATTTGTAGATAGAAATAAGTAATTGAATGAATGAATTCGAAACAAGCTAGATCCCAAGAAAAGAGTTTCCACATTCCAACAAACCGACTCAAACCCATGCCTGCCTCGAAAAAAAAGGAAGTTCCAAATGAACATTTTTGTTACAAAAAATTGGACAGCGTGAGGCTGAATTGTTTTAGAATTAGGATTTTACCGACACGCTCTCTTCCAAATGTTCGAAACCGTATCCATTAGAATGTCCGACGTTGACTCCAACCCCAACGCCATTAATTTCGCCGTTACGCGGCCATCCTGCTTGCTCCAATTGCTCGTGCTGATGGTGTTCATGATGCACATGATGATCCCTAAACCTATCGTGATCGTGATGTTCGAATTGTTCCTCTTTCGTAATGTTGTCTTCACGCTCACTGATATCCTCTGCGGCGATTTCCTCTTCCATCCGCACTTTCACACCGGAAACATCAACTCCAACATCTGCACCAACGTCCGCACTCATATCCACAGCTTCAACACCGTTCCCGTAGTCCACAGCATTTCTCCTAGCTTGTGCCTGGGCTTCTTCTTCTGCGGTGGCCTGCTCAATCCATGGTAACAACTTTGACTCAATGTTACTCTCAATATATCCATTTCCGTTTTGTTTGTTCGGACTACTACTCATCACCACATCCGACCAAGGCATCTCATTTGCATGTTTACCCGTCATGTTGTCCCTTCCGTCAACATTTACACCATTGACATCAATGTCATCTCCATTCCATGTGCTCTGTGTTTGTTTCTCCTCTTGTGTATCATTGTTCCAAGCGTGTTTATTGGAAGGTTCAATATGTGTACTTGTATCTGGCCAAGCCAACCCCTTATTTTCCTCACTTTGTTCCCAAGGGGTACTAGCCGGTACGGAATAGTTTGCCCACGCTGGATCCGCATCGAAGGATTCATTAGAATTGACAGTATTAACAGGTATATGGCCATAAAAATGGCCGCTCACATCCCCATAAGCTCCCATATTGACCCCTGCGGAATTGTTTAGGAAATTATCGATTTGATTCGTAGGATCGGCTTCGTTTACCAGTGTTGATTCGCTGTCTACAGTTGCATGAGACACGAAACTAATGTTTTCATTAGACATGTCGTAATGCTGAGCAGAATATGTATAGCCGCTTGTATCAAAGGGAGATTGAAGACTAGCTGTGTGCGGAGGGGTAGCAAGGCCTTGAACAAAGGAGTCAAGAAGATTAGGTTGCTGGAGATGAAGAGGTGATTCGGGCCAGGTATTATAGTGTTCGAGATTGGGAAGATTCTGGTGAGGGTGTGGCGGTGGTGACATGCACATGTGGCGTGGTGGAGCGGGGTCGACATATCGCCAGGTGGTGTCATTTCCCTCTCCAATGCGAGCTTTATGAAATGTCCAGATAAGAATGGCTCGCCGGATAAATGGCATTCGTTCCCCGGCTGAAGACTGCAATTCTTGATACATTGAAATTTGATCAACGTATTCCCGAATAGAGTTTGAAGGGCGACTTAATCCATTCCCACCATATGATTGTGGAAGACGTTTCTTTTCAATCTCAAAATGAAGGTTCATGAGCTGCGTAAAAGTGTATGCCCAAGTCTCAGCAGGTATGGCGACTTTGATTCGGGTCTCGCTGTCAGACATTCCAAGGACAGTCATTGGCAACGCCGTGTCTTCTAACACAGGATCTCTGGTAGGGTCACCGTAAAGATCCGCAGGTTTAATTAAACTTGTCACAGACTGCCAATTAGATCCAGCAAAATCCTTGCCAGGTATGGACACCTCCATGCGAGTCAATAGCTCACTATTATCCGGAGCGTGAGTTTTCATCAGATCCAACGACACATCCATATGGATGATATCACAGTTCAGATCGTTTGTAGAATGCAATTGTGCCAAGTGAGGGAACTTTTGTCGCCAGTGAAGGATTGATTCAAGACTTCCGCGGGGCTTCGATGACGACAAACCCGAATATCTATGAAGCACTAGACCATCTCTTCGAAGATCTTGTTCGGTTTTCATGACCCCGTTTCGTTCATTTGGCACAGCAAATGGTGTCATGAGCAACCAGAATGCAGCAGGCTTCATAGGATGATGGTTACTGAGTATTATTTGATTGAGTGCGTCATATTGATCGTGGCGTTTACTAGGTAGCCGACCTTGCGAGAGTGCTATAAGTGTGGGGTCCTTTTTAAATGAATCCTCGAAGCCATTCTTAGGACCCTTATTCGGAGGAAAGAGACGTTGATCTAAGAAGCGTTAGACTACATTTCAGATATCTCGCTGTAGACCTCTTACATAGTGCAGGATGAGGAGTCAGGAACCCTTTCAAAACCTGAATGTGACTAGATACCTGCTTCCTTGTACGCATCATCGTTGGATCTGGACGCTGCCCCGGAGGAAGTGTATTCTTGTATGCTATCCAAAGATATTCCTTGATGAGCTCATTCCGACCATGAGGCTTGCCCCTGAAAGAAAATTTCCGTCTTCCCATATAAGGGATGGCAAGAAGAGCTTAGATTTTGTCAGTTGCTATTTCACGTTGATAATAACTCTACTAACCATCAAGAAATGCATCCTCAAGAACAACCGGCCACTTCGAATCACCTTGGGTGTTTCCATCCCGATTTGCTCGAGCTCGGTATGCTTGATACTGAGGCGAATCAACTATAGGGTTGCGGTTACTATGTCTATTAAAACGTTGTTGCCGGTTGTGCCGCTTTCGAAGTTCCAATGTATTGCCGGCGGGCAGGCGCAGAGGCTGCGATGGCAGAGTAGGCATAGAATACATTGACCTTTCTTGGCCTCTCATGTGATGCCTCTTGTTATCATGATACAAGCTCCCCGACGCCAGGTCGTGAAGCTGAGCGTTACCTGCAGAATCCGAAAGAGGCTCTTTGAGCCTTGACAGCCCACTGGAATCGTCCAGTTGAAGCTGTTGCGATGTGTATCCTGATGGCAAAATATTGCGAGGATCTTCCATCGACTAGATGGTGCGATTTAGATTCGAGAATGCTTCGACGGATTCGAAATTCCAGTCACTGAAGCATTTGCACCAGGATTCGAGGTAGGCTGTGTAGGAAAAATGCGTATTTGCTCGACGAAGAATCAAGATTACAGTAAAAAATGTTTGGAGGAATGGCAGCGGAAAGCTTAGAATGAAGTTGCACAAGGGAATGTCAACAGATTAAGAATGAAGTAGGAGATGCCCTGACGGCTTATTAAGGAAGCAAAGTAGATTGAATGTATATGGCCAGGATGCAGGGCTG